TATGATTACTTGCTTGAACAATGTGAACACAACTAAAAATAGATGATAAAATATTGAAAATACTCTATTAAAAGGGAAAAGTCTTATTCTCCAAGCTATCTATCCTAATTTATAATATAAGGATAAATATATAACAGATTTTATAAAATTTTAATAATGACCAATGCTCCTTGTTATAGATTGGTCCTAATCATGCATCTAGCTAAGCCCAATAACGTTTATGGAAGCCGACTTTATCTTTCATTAGCAAAGTCACAAGAGCACACGTTCAAGCAAATATATAAACTATCTATACATGGACTTGAACTTAGAGACACGGCTTAAGTCTAACACTTACATAAATACTTCAAACATTTTTTCAACTAAATCGAACCAATCTATTTTTTAAAAATGAATTAATTAACTGATAATTTTTTTAAAGTGGGTTGAATCAATTTTTTTGAAAATATAAATTAAATTTTTTGAAATTAAATTAGTTTAAAGTGATATAATTATCTGTTTCACACTTATATACATTAAATTTTAAAAAAAATTGAATCAAATCAATTCACTTTATAAAAATAGATTGAATAATCTAACTAGTTTTATAAAGTGAGATTTGAATTTTATCTCAAAATAGATCAAATTTTTTTATTTAGACCAATTTAATTATAAATTGGTTCAGATCAGTTTAAAATTTTTCACATCCTTTATGAAAGATACACATTTACAATATGTAATATATTTATGATTTTTTTTATTAACTTGAGTGTGTGTCCATATATATGATTTGACCAAATCAAAACACACCATTACTTTCGTGAAAGCTCTACTCTATATATTATCACTCTAGTCAAGCCTTTTGCTAGTTTGGACAGTACATCATAAAGAATCTAAACCCACAATCTCACTTATTATGGGTAGATCAATTCCATAGTCTCACCTACATGTAGCTTATAACTTTTAATTGTATTTTTTTTATGTGTATTTAATTTTAGTAGAATCAAAATCATTAAGGTTTATAATAAGAGATTAGAGACATTTTAGAAATTTTTTGGGTTTCATCTTTGTCATACTCATGTCTTTTTCTTTTTATTTCCCTCTTTGAGTCTTTCTTATCAGTTTCTTGTATACACATCATTTAACTAATGGTATCGTTTGTTTATCATGTGAAAGGAAATAAAAGAAAAATGTATGAAAAGGAGAAGAAAAAATAAAAAGTAGAAATTGAGATAATTTTTAAGCTGTTTGATAAGGAAAAAAAATTAAAGGAATTATTTTGGTTGAAAGTAAAAGAAAAAAATATTTGTAAAATGTTATAAATATGTATAATAAAATAATGAATACAACAATAAGGGGGAAATGGTCTTTTATTTCGAAACCATACGTTACCACTTTTGGACGGATCATAAAATATGTAAGTACCACATTTTTTTTGAATTTACAACTCTTATCGTATAAGTTATATATTTATGATGGTTGGTGTGAAAAAAAAATAAATTATATTGGTGTGTTGATCAGATGATTAGAGTTGAAAAATAAAAAATTTATAAATTAATTAATTAAATTAAAAATATTTGATAAGATTAGATGATAAATTAATTGATTATTATAAAATGATATATTTATTTATTTAACAAAAAGTAGGATAATATGTGGACAAATTATTTTTAAATTAAAAAAGGTTAATTTTTTTAAATAAATTAACAAGGATAAAAAAGAAAAGATAAGGTTAACAATTATAAATTATATGTTACTTTAACTAACTGATGAAAATAAGTTATAAATTTTTAAAATAATATCTTATATAAATGAATTTATTTTGGTCAACTTAATTTATTGATTAAAAAAATTTAAATTCTTCGAATCTCTTATAAACACACTAAAATTTTTATATTAATCTAAAATTTAAGTATTCCATTATAATATGCATCAAACTATGATATATCTTTTAAAATAAAAATGCTTTGATTTTATGTTTATAATTATTCAATTTTATTAATTTTAATATAAATAACTAAAATTACATGTATAGTTATAATTTAATGATTAGATAAATACAAATCCCATTATATACAGAATTATAGAAGAAAGCTAAAATGGTGATAAACAGATGGATAAATGTCTTTAATTTACTGGCTTGCGAGTCGACAAGAGCAGAAAAAAAATGGAAACAAATACATTCTTTGAATTTGTAACTAAAGGTATTCTAAAATCTCTTATTTTCCTTTTATTCCTTTCCAATTAAATTAAATAATAAAAATCACTTCATTAATAGACCATTTCCTCCAAAAATAAAAATCACACTTCATTATGATTATAACATTTTTTTTTCTAAAACTAATTTGTGTAAAACTATTTTCTCCCTGAACAAAATTTGTGGTTATTACAAGAGTTAAGGAACGAAAACGAATAAGAACTAAGAAGCTCAAATTACAATATCATATAAAAATAACAATATGACTTTTATATTTTATTTTAATTATTTATAGTAGAGTTTAATAATTAATGTTTATTTTTCTTATTTTTACGTGATATTTTAGTTAATTTATCTTCATATACACAGAAATTATAAAATGAGAAATTTGTAAATTAACTACTAAAGTGCCGACGAGTTGAAGAACCTTGAGAAGTACTCAACTCAAATAATGACACTGATGGACTTAGAAATTTCTAAGTCAATAAATTACCAGTATCAGTATGGCAAGGTTATTGTGGAAGCTGACAAAGAATTAAGCAAACTTTAAGTCTCAAAATAATTGAGTAACTATTTATATCGATAAAAAAAATATAATAATACATAAATTAGCAAAAAATAATTAATCTTCTTGTTTTAATAAAATTATTGACAGTTTCTTTAATATGCTTTTTATTTCTCTTATTTATTGTAGTACTGTTTTGAAAAATAGCGTTTCATAATTTTTGTGAGGGGTAACCTTGACCTAGCAATCGCAGTTTAACCACAGGGAGATGGTATCTTATAATTGCTCTTAAAATTATGATTTGACATATAGAAGAAAGAAACAAACATTTAGAAACGTGTGAAATGAGTGTATGCAACGTATTAAATTATCAAAACTTTACTATCTTGTATTTTTGTTTTTAATTAGAGATAAAAAAAAATTGTGAAATAAATTATTGATGTGAAATAAATAATAAAATTATTTCATAAAGTGATATTTTAAATAAAATTTAAAATAATTAACTCATATAATAATATTATATATAATATGATGTTCACATTGAATGTAAAAATAAAAAAAACCATTATTAATTAGTGAATTTTACAAGTAAGAGTGATGAATTCCAATTCTTATAAAATCTCTATTATCAATTTTTAGTCATCAATCCAATTAAACAGATAGATATTAAATATTTTTAAAATTATTTATATAATTTTATTATGGTTTAATTTCACTTCTTTTTATAATTTCATAAACATTACTTTTAACTTTATGTAGTTAACAATGTTCAATTTTAATCTTTATACTTAATATTTTTGTTTGTCTCATCATTTACTTATATAGAGATTAAAAAGCATAATTTATAAAATTATAGAAATTAAAAGGAAACAAAAATGGTATGTATAAGAACTAAAATAGAATGTTTCAATTTACAAATTGTAAAATAAAGCTCTTGAAACTATATGTACTCAAATCTTTCTTTAATATTTATAAAAAAATTATTTATTGTGCTCTTTAACTAAGGATTGAATTTCAATCCCTAGGATTGGGTACTATTGTACATATGAAATTTTATACACATATTTTTATATTGATATAAATTTGTTTTTGGTTTTTATCCAAAAAGCTTTACATCAACGTGACAAAAGCAACTAATATGACATGTTATCTACTCAACTCAGCGATCACCATGAACTTTATTGGATTGTAAAATTGTGGAGGGAGTCTAACTAGGTAACATGATTGATTTCGATTATTTGAGAATTTTTTGGTGTCTTACTTTTGTTCATATTGATCCAAGGTCAAAAAAGGACATTTACATAAGTTATGCTAAGGGTGTGATCATATTCAAGTTTTGGATTCAACTTTAAAGAAAATAATGATTAACATATATACAAATTCAATGAACAATCCAAATTAAAGCAAATAGTTGAGATCCATGTACCAAGAGTTGTATGTAATTTTGAAGGGGCTCATGTAAACATTGAATAATTGCCGATAAACTTTTGAGAGATCAAACAGTAACAATTAAAAACTTGTATGTGTATCAACACTTAATTGTGATAATTCATGTGAACAATAACAATACATTCTTTTCAAAGACAAAGAATATTGTACAATTTGTTAAAATATAAATAATATCTCACATCATAAGAATAAGAAGATGAATAAGAATTTATAAAATACATACACATTCTATCAGTGAGGATTCTTTTAAATATGATAAAAATAAAATTATGAAATTGTTAGCTCAAAATAGACAATATAAATACCAATGTAAAATTATGTGTGAATAACTAATAAATAACAAGATATAATATTAACCCTACTCTTGATAAATATAACTCACAAACAAATGAATTGAACAATCTTAACACAACTAAGCCACCCATTCGATATAGATTTGAAGTTTTCACTAGTTTAGGAATTTTGTGTAACATTTCAGGAGGTTATAGAAAGTAAGAAGAATAGGAGGTTCGTGTCCTATTCCAGAGCAAACTAATTAAGTTGGAAAACAACCATCACATTCTATTAGACTAAAGAAGTTGGCTTCAATCAAACAAAGATTAAATTATAGTCTTGTGTTTAACAGAACAATCGTTAAAAGTACAGTCAAAGTTGTGCAACAAGTACAAGTCGCAAAAGAAAATACCCCTTTATAATTATATGACCACCCTTATTAAAAAAAAAAATAAAAGTAAAGTCTAGCACGAGAAAAACGCAAGAGATCCTCTAATATAAACACTAGCGAGGTGAAGATATATCTGATTGTTCGTTAAATAATGGAAGTTTGAAATTTAGGTGCGTTGTTGAAATTTGTTGTTGGGTCCATACTATAGTTTGGTATGTAGCAAACTAGCAACTAGCAAGTGTGTGACAGAGAGGGACAGAAAAAAGTTGCACAAAAGGATAGGGCCGGGAATGGTTAAAACGTTGGATGTGGATGCAACCAAACCGAAGCAGTGAGAAGAAGAAGAATACAAAAAAGGGTACAATCTGTTATCTGTCTCTCATAGCTGGCGCTTTACCTCCATTATTTTTGGTTTTCGTTTTGGACAGACAAGCTAGTCTTTGCTTCTCTGACTACACTCCTTCTCTCAGTGTACCACTATGCCATGCCTATGGCCCAGCCTACGTCAACTCTCACCTTTTTCCCTTCCACTTTACTTCCCTTATGCATCAAACAACACCACAATGAACAATAATACTACACTCAACCCTTAGCCACTACCCACCACCCCAATGGCTTCTGCCTCCTCTGAGTCTCTCAACGGTTTGAAATTTGGCAAAAAAATCTATTTTGAGGATGTGGGTCACTCTACTAGTACTCCACCCTCTTCTCTTGCTTCTGCTGTTGCTACTACTGCTTCTTCCTCTTCTTCAAGGAAAGGAAGAGGTGGGTCTGTTCAACCAGCTCAGCCTCCCAGGTGTCAAGTTGAAGGGTGCAAGGTAGATCTGAGTGATGCAAAAGCTTACTATTCTAGACACAAGGTCTGTGGCATGCACTCCAAATCCCCCATTGTCATTGTTGCTAGCCTTCAACAAAGGTTTTGTCAACAGTGTAGCAGGTCAACCCTCCTTTCATTAATAATATTATTATTATTATATTACCTGAAACTAAATTTTTTCTTTCTTCTTGTGCTGTTTTAATATTTTACTATAAGTAGTAGGGTAGGGTTTTCTTTACTTTATTAATTTTCTTTTCAAGGGGTATCTGTCTGTGGTGTAGGCTTTGTAGGTGAGATATGTTATCCTGTTTTGTCGGTGCAGTTATAGGTGTTTAGCCTTGCTGGTTGTTTAATGGTGTGCTTTTGCTTTTGTTCAAGTTTTTGTGTGATTCTTTGTGTCTGTTCTGGACATGTTTTGTTCAGTTATGATTATTTGGCTGGTTGTGCTTGGTGTACTTTGCTTTTTTTCCGCCTAGCTTAGCTTTAAACGGTTGTCTGTTAAGGCGAATGAAATATTGTTTTCCTTTTCAGCGAATTGATTCTTGCACCCCCCCAGGTGTGTTTGTTTGGCGTTAAAAATAATAACTCCCTTTGTACGGAAAAGGGGTTTGAAGTGGCTGTGCAACTTGTAGTCTGAAAATTACACTACACTACTCTGCTGTTTTTTGTGGGGTTGGGTTGGGGTTCGGGCCCTCAATTGTGTATTCATATGCTTCTATAATTTTCTGATTACTGTTTTGTGTTTGGATCATCTGTTTTGGAGGAATAATTTTTTTTTTTCTTTTCAAAGATTACTGGAGAGCCTTTGAAAAAAAATGATTGTTTTCCAAATATTACCAAACACGGGCAAACTCCATAGGTCTGTGATCTGTGTAAAGATAAATCCAGATATTTCAGTTTATTGTTACGAATCAAGTTGTTTTTATCGTGTGAAGGCTTATTATTTGTACTACAATACAAGAGCAAACCCTTGTTGAACTGAGTGAACCTAGGGTTCTTACTTAAGGTTTGCATTATTATCATATAATATGTTAGTTTTCTGCTAATTGGATTTTGAGAGTGGTTGCAACCTGCCATTGTATGGTCATCCATAAAGTGGGTCCTGATTGTTGATAATATGAGATTTTAGATATCTTAAGCAGATAGATTGATTGATTATTCATGTAAATTTCCTTGCATGAAGAAGTTCTCCATACCCCAGGCTGACACACTAGTCATGTATTGTCTCCTTAACTCATGTTATCTTGTACTGTGTAGTTTGACTTGTTGACACATTATTGAGAATGGGTGCAATTAGTGTTGCTGGATCATGCAATCCAGATCGCATGCTTTGCTTATGTGACTTCATTTCTATTATGTTTTATGGTGCTAACTATGTCAGTTGTCACATGCACTGTTCATTTCAATTTGACTCGTTAGTGCTAGAGGATGCTACTGTGCATTTTAGGATAGTATTCAATGGTGTAATAAGCTTATGTTTGGGAGACAGATGGTCATCATAATTAGAAAGTTTCCAACCACAATATACGGAGAATATGTCTATTTGTTAATAAATGTGGGTTCTACATGTAATTTTCTCTTTTTGGGAGCCGGTATAGTGTTCTGGTGGCTGTTCTAAGTGTACTTTTTGACCTGTAGCCTTTCTAGTTAAGGAGCAAGTTATTTTCCTTAATGGGAATAATCAGAAAATGGGAATGCTATACTCTTTTGTATATGCTAAGATAAAATATATGTTAAGAGAGATGATATAGAAAAGATATTTAAGATGAATATTTTAGCATCCAATCTCACAGAATTTCAGATAGTACTATTGGTGGATCTACATTGTGGTTTATCCTCTGTATTTAAGCTTGGTGAGTGACCTTTTGAATTATTCTGGTGTCTTGCACTAAGGAGTAAAGATAATGCTATCCCTTTTGGTAATAAAGAAGAGAAAGAACTTTATTTGTATTGTTTTTTTTTTTTTTAATCTTATTTTACTAATATGTTAAGGCTGAATTCTAAGTATCATGGAGCCACAGGATGTTACCTGAGCAATGTTTGAGGATTGCTTCTGTAAAACAGGGCTCAAGGAACATCTTATACTGTTAATATTCTATCTCATCCAATGCAAAACATGATAACATAAAGTGCATCACTGCAAGATGTGAGAATTATTACTACATCTTACAGAAAAATACCCTTGTTCTTGGGCTTTACATATTACTTATGTTCTATAATCTTTGAAATGATGACTAAATCAAGTAAGTTATAAATTCCATCTCATTTGCATCTGCATTTAATGAAACAAGAGATACTTGGTGCATACAATTTATAGCAACAACAGCATGGCATATCATGTTAGCATTGGTCTTGGCACTTAGGTATGCTTGTTCTCATTTACCTCTCTTTGACATTAATTAGAATCATTTATATTTGTAAAAGCTAATATCAAGTTTCATAGCCTTGCCCAGATTTCATCAGCTTCCTGAGTTTGATCAAGGAAAAAGAAGTTGCCGCAGACGACTAGCTGGCCATAATGAACGGAGGAGAAAGCCCCCACCCAGCTCCCTCTTAACCTCTCGCTATGCCAGACTTTCTTCATCTGCTTTTGGTTAGAAACTCTCAGTAAAATATCAAATTCATGTCTCTCTAAAATTTTCCATAAGGAAGCATATTTAATTCAGCTCATGCCATTCGTGGCATATAAAAAAAGAGTTTAATAGCATGCACGTCAGTTAAAAACTTTTACACTATCAATCAATCATAAATCACTGTTTGTAATTTGTATGACTTTTAAGATTGTTATTTTAAAAGTTAACAAACTTACCATTCATGGTGGTCTGTGATTGGATGACAATGTAAAACCGTGCATAACCCATAACCCTTTTTCTCAAATGTTTGACACTTTTATTGACAGATAACAGTGGCAGAGGTGGCAACTTTCTGATGGAATTGTCTTCATACCCAAAGCTTAGTCTGAGAAGTCCACTTCCAACTCCTGGATCATCTGAGCTAGCTCATGGAAATCAAACCTCAACAATCAGCTGGCAGGAAAACTCAGAGACACCATCTGATCTTTTCTTGCAAGGTTCGGTGGGTGGAACCAGCTTTGCTGGTCCTGAACATCCTCCAGGGGAAAGCTACACTGGGGTCACTGACTCAAGCTGTGCTCTCTCTCTTCTGTCAAGTCAAACATGGGGTTCTAGAAACACTGCACCAAGTCTTGGGTTAAATAGCATGATAAATTTCAATGAGACACCCATGACACAACTTGCTGCATCATCTCATGGTGCATCAATCCATCAACTCCCAAATAATTCGTGGTGTTTCAAGGGCATTGATACCGAGGTTGTCCCTGATCTTGGTCTAGGTCAAATTTCACAGCCCCTCAATAGCCAACTTCCTGGTGAGCTGGATCTGTCACAACAGGGCAGGAGGCATTACGTGGATCTAGAACAGTCCAGGGCATATGAATCTGCTCATTGGTCACTTTAATGCACTTGTTCGTTGTGACGTTTGTTTTGGTTTGTTTAAACTAATAAGCAAGGTGGGTAGCCTTGCTTCATTTGTGGAACCTTTCAGGCACAAATGAAATTACCTGAGAGTGTGTTTTGTTGTTGTCTCTAGCAAAGGTCTGGTGTCTTTTGCAGTTGTTGTCACCTCTTGAATTATTAGCTTAGGACGGTCACTTTGTGATTTGCTACCATTGCTCGAAGTTTTTCATATTATCTTTTGACCATATGTAAACAAAGTGTTGCACACATTGCCCATCTAAGAATATTTTGCACTCTGGTAAGTTGATTGACTTGGAGAACAAGATTGGGACTGTGTAGACTATGCTGGTCTGTACAAAATTCAGTTCATTTTCCAACACAATAATTAGGGTCGCAAAATGATTTAAATAGTAGAAAAACTAATTTTATTTATTAATGAATTTTGCATGCAATTCGTTTAGAACTATTGGAAGTGATATTTCTGTTTTTATTTTTCTTTAACATAGCCCTCGTTCTCAATTTTTTTCCATCATCCTCATTCTGAAATTTTCCCTCTAGTTCTGCTAACCCGCCGAGGCACCAATTAAAACAATGATTCTCTGTGGACCAAAAATAAAAAATGAAGTTCCAAATCCAACCTTAGTCTTGGTATGCAGTTTTGTTAAATATTCTAAGAACTTGTTTATAAAAGTCTTATCTAGCTTAAACAAAATTGTCTTAGATGGAAGATTCTTGTGTTCTCTAGATATATATATATATAAATAAAATTCCCATGTCATTATGATTCATGTGCACTACCTTGACAATTCATAGTTGCACTGTCGTGACTCTACTACAACTTGGAATTGTGTCATCATTGTGGCACTCTATAAGTCGACACAATTAATCCGCCAGTCACGAAGTCAAGATTTCTAGGGTCGGCACATCGAACCAGTGTCTACTGCATTGCCACTGATCACTGTGCCATTATCAAAATTTAAAATACTAATATAGACTTTCCCCAACAATCTATATGAAGATAGGATTTTTTTTTTTTTTTTTTGTGCGGGGGGATGAAACCAGAATTATGGAAATTTGAAAAATGTTATCGCCTGCAATTTTATATGAAGACCACAATAATTTACAAGAAAGGGGTGGAGATGAAAGTTATGCAAATGTCAAAAATGTTATCACGATGAGTGAAGACATGTCAAATGACTTTTTGTTGTTTCTCAGAATTTTGAAAAACTTGGAGTATTAGCTATTTATTTTGTATGTGTGAACTGAGAATATCTCCTATGTAGTGTTCTATAGAATTCAGGTGTTGAGCACCTATGACTCTACAAAGTTGGTGCAGCAGTGGTGGCTATTGACACTTTAAAGCTTACAATAACAACCGAAGTATTATTTATATAAATTATTTATCATAAATTTAAAATATTATTTATATGTTACTATAAAAAAAATATACTAATATATGTTTAAAAATATCTATTTATACAAATTTTAAATATGATTTATATGTTTAAAGATAATATTTATTTATTTATATATAATTTATTATTAATTTTTGTTATATAATAAATATTTGGCATGTCCAATATACTAATTAAGAAACATGTGAAAAAAAAATAGCATGCGAAGAGGAAAAATGGGTTGAAATAACATGAAGCCCAGGGCTAATTATTCGAATTGGGCTGAAGAAAAGTTGCGCAATCAACAAAAGCCCAATAACTTGTTTGGCGCCAAAAGAAACCATCAATAGTCTTCTTTCTTCGTAAATGGTTAGCATATAACGAACTCAGCAAAGTGGAACCCCATCTCACCCTGAGCACACAATAAAACAGTTGAAAAAGTTAAAAAAAAAAAGCACTCTCTCTCTCACACACCTTGATGCATGCAATCTTGATTCTTCCATTAAGTTCTGTTCCAAATTCAGCTCAAGAACAAATTGTATGCATGTTTGGGAATGATACGGAAACTAATAAAGAAAACAAGGAAAAACGCAAAGAAAATATATTGTTGATATTTCTGTGTTCTCAGGAAAATGGTTTGTCACTTCCTCTACGTGCATCTTAACCTCTTTGTCTTCTCTTCAATTTTGATTTCTCAGGGTTTGGCGTTAACTCATCCAACTGAAGGTAACTCAGATAACTGTTTATTCACTCTTGTATTATCCTATAATTTGCTTTTAATCTTGGAAACAGTTGAAAATTTGATCCGATATTATCATATTATGCGTCTGGTTGCTACAAAAGTTGACACAGACTATTCGAAACATGACTTTTGGTTTCGTGCTTGTGGTTGAGGACCGTGTTGGTAGCTGATATCATCTTTTAGAATTACATATTCAGATTTTGTTACTATTATAAAACTAAAATCCACTTTAACTTAATTTGACAGCTTTCTGCTCGTTCACTAAACAATATATTTGTATTTTGTGCTTATTTTTTTTTTTTGGGATAAACAGTGTCAGCTCTCCAGGATCTATACAATGCCTTGAACTATCCACCTATGCTCAAAGGATGGAATGGTAGCGATCCTTGTGGGGAGTCCTGGACAGGAGTTGCTTGTTCTGGGCCATCAGTTATACAATTGTAGTGCACCACATCCACTGATTTTATTTTCTATTTAGATCCTAATTAATTCCACTAATAACTGTTAGTTATTCTATCTGTCTAGAAAACTTCAAGGATTAAACCTCACTGGGTATCTTGGAAGCCTCTTGTATAATCTACGTAATTTGAAGCAACTGTGAGTGTTTATATGGCATTAGGCTCTTATCAGGATAATTTATCGTCAAGATCTGCTACTTATTTACTTCCATATTGTGGTTTCTGCAGTGATATCAGTTCGAATAACATAGTGGGTGAAATGCCTTTCGGTTTACCCCCCAATGTCACACATATGTAAGCCACCAGCTGCTCTTATCCCCGCAGGATTAAATTTTATGATTCCTGATAAGCATGCTTGTATTTAAATATAGCAGTGTTGTTCTCATGATTCTGTGTAGCAGAAATAAAATGAAGCTTGCATTATTGCAACTATTTGAACCAAAATATTCTACACTTATTGAGAATTGTAAGTTACATCAGGAGTAAAATGGATTTTTGTTCGTCGGAGAGGTACACCATCGGCAATTTAGTCCCTGATGAAAATTTATGTGTTTGATTCTGTCTTTAAACTGTTTAAACTTATTTCATGTTACTCCTCATCAGAGATAATAAAAGGAGTGACATGAAATGGGTTTGAATGATTTAAGAGGACTGAATCATCAAAAAAATTTAAATTTGGGACTAAATTGTGAGAAGTATACTTTTCTAGGGACCAGAATGCTAGTTTACCTATTGTTGATTTTAGAACAAGCTTGATAGAGATGATAATACAAGGAAACATGCTTAACCAGAATATCAATTAAAGTTTATTCTCACATTTTCTCTTCTCTTAAGCTGGGTACAGTGATTGAGCTTTACTAATGCCCGTGAAATCATCTTGTCCTGCAGGAATTTAAGCCACAATTTACTACATGGACCCATTGGTGATGTATTTACTGGTTTAGATCATCTCAAAGAAATGTGCGTCTTTTTCTCCTGGGTCTTTTGACCTGCCTTTGGATATGTATAATAAATGAATAAGCAATTCAACCACTACAAAATTTTAACTACTTGAAAGTTGAATACAATCTAAGCCTTCCCAATTTTTAAATATTCGTGATGGATCAAATGGTATGTATAACACATAATTATAAAATATAATAAGTAAAAGTAAATCATTCAACCCTAAAATAAATAAAACAACCAAAATAAAGACTGCAAGTCCTCTACATTGCTATCTTTTGTTGAATAAGGTAAAATGAAAGTTGAGAAGCGCCAGAGAAACGTGGTTGCTTATAAAAATCTAAAATATTTTCCAAGGTCAGCTGAAGTCAAGTACTATGATACTAGTATTGCGACCCTTATGATCAAGTTGTGAGAAAGTGAGACAACCAGATGAAAATATTTTGATTCTTATGTTCAGAAAGAAAGGCTAGCTAGCAACACACTTTTTCCAACATAATATTACTAGGTGAAACTCCCTTGGGACCTCTAAATAGGAGGTGGAACCTACAAAATAGAGAGTAGAACTCACATGAATTTCACCCAATAGAAGGACTGAAAGTGTACTGATAATATTCTTCTTTGTTCAAATTTCGTTGTATGGAACCTCATAAAGGATAATTTCCTTTCTTCAGGGACCTTTCATATAATAATTTCTCTGGAGATCTACCTAGTTCATTTGGTTCCTTAAGAAACCTTGCTAAATTGTAAGTTTTTTTGTCCGATGCCTTATCCATTTTTCTAGACTTGATTTATGTTTCAACATATACTCAAAGGGAGAATTAAACTTTATTAGGGTCTATTTTGTTGTTTGATATGTAGAGTGGTGCTTATGTGCAGGTTCCTGCAAAATAACAGATTCACTGGATCAGTCGCTTACTTGGCTGAACTTCCACTAACAGATTTGTAGGGTCATCACTCACATTTTCACAATGTATATTTTCAGCTCTATTACTTGCTTATTTTTCTACATTGCCAGGAATATTCAAGATAATATGTTTAGCGGCATTCTTCCACAGCATTTTCAATCCATACTGAATTTATGGTTAGTGAAGACTATTTCAAGTTTTGATCACCTTTAGTTTCTTGCATAAAATGAAATAGTGATCACATAACATTGAATAATAGTCACCCTCTATACCTTCAAATTCAATTAGGATTGGAGAGAATAAATTCCATGTGTCAGACAACTCTCCTCCCTGGACTTTTCCTCTGGAAACTGTATCAGTTGAGCATAACACTAGTAGCCCACCCACAACTCGGGCAAATGCCATAAAGAATTATTCTCCTCCCAGAGTAAGTGAGGCTCTTCCCATGGTAAGTGAGGCTCCTCCCAGAGTAAGGGAGGCTCCTCCCAGAGTAAATGAGCACAAGGAGAAACGTGTAAGTCCTGGAGGAATAGCATTTATGGTTGGTTCAGGAACACTAATGGTAACAGGGTTAGCACTCTTTGTTGCAATCCGTTTGAATAAACTTCGTGTACAGAAATCGAACTCGAAGAGCACAGAAAGCAACCAAGGCTCATTGCATTCTCATCCGTCCAGTGCAACCATAGGTAATTCATACAGAAATGCACATGAACTGTGACTGTGAGGCACTTCATATGCCATTTGACATGGAGTGACCTTGAGTTGAGAAAATCTAGAACAAATAATACAAGAAAATTTTGATCTTATTGAACATTCACTTCTTGTATGTAAATAATTCCTCTCTGAGTTAGTATAGTAGTATACCATTCCATTTAGTATTTCTGTGAATTCATTAATATTGTTCATCATGCTTATTTTTCCCCCTCTGGTGATAGGAGTCTCTTCTACCGCACTAGAGGAGAGCCCTCAACACCCCACCTTTAATTATGCATCCCTCGTGGGCCCTCCTGTGGGATTGCCTTCCCTGAACCATAACAATACAGAGGAACCATCAAGAAGAAGTTTTTTCAAAAGAGCCAGATCCAGTGGAAGGACGAAAATTTACACAGTAGCGGAGCTTCAGTTGGCTACTAATTGCTTCAATGAAGCCAACATTCTGGGAGAAGGATCTCTTGGTCCTGTTTATAGAGCTAAATTTCCCGATGACAAAGTACCATCTTTTAAATACTAGTATTTTTTTGTCAAGTTCAGGTTTGAACTGTTGCTTTCAGATTGTATAACATCTTTTTTCTTTTGGTTTTCTGTTGAAGATTTTGGCCGTCAAGAAGATAAACATGGCGGGCCTGTCGTTCAGAGAAGAGGAGAAGTTCATGGATGTCATTTGCACAGTTTCCCGACTGAACCATCCCAACATCGTAGCACTCAGTGGTTACTGTTTGGAGCAAGGAAAGCATCTTCTTGTTTACAATTACGTTGGAAATTTCACTCTAAACGATGCTCTTCACGATGAGGCGTACAAACCTCTGTCATGGCTCCACCGTCTCCGGATTGCTCTCGGGGTTGCTCAAGCCCTAGAGTAAGTTCCATGTGCTAATGTCATGTCTCACACAAATTTAATACTCGTTAATATGAAAGTAGGGTTCTGGCTGTTATGTGTAATTTTGTATCAACTCTTTAACCTCGAGCAAATATTTGCAGCTATTTGCACTCAGTGTTGTGTCCTCCTGTGGCTCACGGCAACTTGAAGGCTGCCAATGTCCTACTGGATGAAAATTTGATGCCTCGTGTTTGTGACTGTAGCTTGGCTATTTTGAGACCACTGACTATCAATCAAGTCGAAATTCCGGTTAGTCATTGCCAAGGTTCTTGTTGTTCAAGTTATTCCTAACATTGAGCAATAGACCATAGTTCATAACTGATAATTAATAACTGTTGCATTTTGCTAATGCTCACACCTCACAGCTGCTTTTATCTTATATGGGCGATTTTAACTTTTAAGTTCCCACTGAATACATCAAGTTCGAAGTATAGGGTTTAATAACAAGAGTATGTGCCCCATTTCTTGTTCTATAGCAGAAACAATGATAGTAGAGAAATACAAGCAACAATTCATTGAAAATCATAAAAGTTTGTCTTTTCAGATGTGATTTTGTAGTTTTTAATTAAGTTTAATCGATGTATTTAAAAAAGTAGGTTAAAGAGTGTATTACTAATATTTCTAGTGATTGTATTATTTTGTAACTTTAGTAGTTAAAAGCTGCTTAAATTTTATAAACCATGCAGATTTTGTAAAGGGAATCAAAAGTTTGATAAGAATCTTGGTAAGTATGGTCATTGATCTCTTTGATGGCTGTTGAAAACAGGCTAATGAGTTCAACATTGGAGAGATAGGGTACGTTGCCCCAGATCATGGGCAACCAGGAAGCAGCAGCAGAAAGAGAGACGTTTTTGCCTTTGGGGTACTGCTTCTGGAATTGTTAACAGGAAGGAAACCTTATGACGGGTACGTTCTTTTCGTTTTCATCTTTTTGTACGTAGTTTTGGATTGAATGATGTACCCTTTTTGAATTTTCCTTCAACACAGAGCGAGGCCAAGGGAGGAGCAATATCTGGTGAAATGGGCTCCACCGATGCTTCCTTATAGAGCGAGTTTGGAACAGGTGGTAGATCCCCGCATGAAGAGAACATTTTCACCGAAGGCTCTTTCTCGTTATGCTGATATCATCACCCTCTGTATACAGCCTGTAAGGCAACTCCGTCCTCCAATGTCCGAAATTGTGAAGTCTCTTGAATCTCTATACCAAAAGTTCAACATTGACAAGAGCGATGTAGCAGATGGTACCGAACTGGATCCGTTTGAGAAGTCTTTCCATTCGGCCAACATATGCTTTATGGGTTCTCCCGCCGCAGTAAGCCATGCATCAACATCAATCTAACGTAACGTGCTAGAAATTTGAGGTTCATTTTTGTTGCGGCATTTTTCTCTTGTAAATATGAGGAACGTGTTTTTTTTTTTATCCGTTTGTACAGACTAACTGCATGAATTAGCTTGGGATGAAGATTTTTCGATACCCAAATAAATGGAGCATTTGACACTTCTGGTGTGTCTATCTTTCTTTTCTTATCACACGTATCATCGATCATCATTCATATCAAATAGTACTTAGCTTTCTTTTCTTCGTATCCCATAGACATGATTGTGTAGTCTCTTCTAACCAACATTTTTTATCTACCAAAGTCAAACATTAAACATTACTTAATACATTTCAGTTCTGTTTGGACCAACATAAAGTTTGTAACATTTTTTGTTATAATTATGATTCTGTGAAGTGGTTACTTCGAGTTTAATTTATTTTTGTGTAAATATTGAGTTTTAGTTTACTTTTCTCCATTTGTATAGGTTTTTTATTAGTAAAAAATTATAATAATATCAAGAAGGTTACAACTTAAATCTTTTTTAAATTTCTCATCAGTAAGCCTGACCCAATGATTTCGAGTAGTTACAACTTAGTTGCATTGTTTGAAATTTGAACTTGTGCAATAATCCTATATAATAGGCCATGCTAGTAGTTCCAATATTTCTTCATTAACAACACAGTATAAGAGATGTCTTTTTGTTAAACACACATTCAATACATTTTTTAATTCATCATAATCAAATTCGGCATTAAAAAATTACAATATAATACTTCATTAATATATTATGTCCTTACATAATCGTATAAAAAAAATTTGTTAAAAAAACAAGAACAAAATCTTTTTTTATTTTGTTCAATATCATGGAAATAAAATTCATTTAGTTAAATGAACCGATTTAATTTATTTGAACTAATTTGAGGATTAATTGTATGATTAAAATTATTAAATTTATTTTAATACAAATAAGTTATAATTTATTGACAATCTCTAATATATACTCACTTATTTTCTGGAGAAAAAAATTAGCAACATGTAATTTTTTTTTTTTGGGTCAATCAGCCACATGTAATTTTTAGTATATTTGTAAAAATAAAATATATTAAAAAAATTGAAAATATGATAAAAGTTCCATAAAACACAAAATAGGAAAAAGAGAGAAAAAAAATAGTTGCAGGCAAGTAAGTAGCAACGCCGAATCGAGGGTGTTCAGAGTTTACACTAACGAGTGCCCATTTTCTCTTCTCAAATTGTCAGAGGTACCTATTTATCTTCCCACTCTCAAATCCTTTCTTGTTTTCTTCATCAACATCGCATTTTTTTCGTCAATTTCTCTTCTCTATAACCCATCCATACCTTCTTCATACATCTTTTTAGGGTTTTCAACCTAATTTCCTCTTTTAAGCATCACACATCCTCGATCTGAATGTACGATTCTTCATACTTGTTTTTATGATTGTTAATGTTTCTATTCATCGTTCTCTGTTGCCAAATTTTCCTTGTTTTCCGATGTTATTTTCTGGTTTGGAGTTCATTTCTATCTGGATCGGTTATCATCGCATCGAGCCTTACCACATAATTGGTTTGGTGTGTTTCTAATTGTTATTTATACAACCTCTGTTTCCAGCAAAAGATGCATATATTTTGCACAATTGTAGTTTGTTATCGTTGGAATAATGTTCAATAGGTGTTGTAGAAATTTATCAACAGTAAGCCCCACACCACAGTGGCATGTATGCTGTACGTGTGCGTTCTAATAGCATTATGATATATGGAAACTTAATCTGGTTTATTTGGACTATGTTCCTATCAAAGTGGTCTTGTTCGGAGTGGTTAAAACTGTTTTCCCTGTTCTTTTTGAGGGGTACCTGCTTGTAGTCTACAATGTTGTGATCTAACTTTGGCTTTGTTTGGATAAGTTTCTTCATAAGTACTTAAAGAAGAAGAATGTAAGAAGAAGAAAAAAAAAAGCTTTTTGGCTTCTCCCATAGGCTAAAATTAACTTATGCATAAACTAATTTAGTTTATGGAGGAAGGTTATTTCATTTTTTCTTCTTTTTCTATTAGCACTTTTGTCCAAACAGGGCCTTCTTATCTCCCAACATCATTAATGAGTAATGTTAATATTTTGTCAGTGTGCAGAGAATATCATGGTGGACAGAGCAGAACTTAGGTACTTGGAGGATGAGGATTCATCACTCATGAAAACTATTAAGGGTGCAACGACTGGTTTAGTTGCTGGCACTATCTGGGGTACTGTAGTTGCCACCTGGTATGATGTCCCTCGTGTTGAGAGAAGTGTTGCTCTTCCAGGGCTGATAAGGACTTTCAAGATGATGGGTAATTATGGTTTGACCTTTGCTGCCATAGGAGGAGTCTACATAGGTGTAGAGCAGTTGGTGCAGAACTATAGGATGAAGAGGGATTTTGTCAATGGAGCTGTTGGTGGATTTGTTGCTGGTGCAACTATTATAGGTTACAAAGGTAGCCCTTTCCTCTTATAAATATATATGTTTGAGAATTTGCATATTTTAATATCTCTATTATGAAATGTTGCTTCTGTTATTGAGCTACTGATTTGTTGTTGAAGATGAAAAAAAATACAACAAGTGCTATGTATATTTTGTGCTATAATATAAATTAGATATGGTAATGGAGCAGCATCACATGAGCTAGGACTTGATCCAGTTCATTCTGAAATTTACTCTATTTGAAAGTTGTTTTTTTTTTTCCTTGTTGACTTTATTATGTCATCGTGCTAGATGGCTATTGGCACTTTTGATGTCTGGCAAGTGATAAGAAAGTGAATCTATCATTGGCTCTTCTTTGGCTTGCAAGAAACCAAGAATTGATCTTCTTGTCGTTGTATGTGTGTGTTTCTATGTGTATGGGGGGGAGGGGTATCTGTGACCAATCCTTTCTTCAATACCCCTTATGTCAGTTTTATGTCATTTTAGGTTGTCATATAAACCTTGTTCTTTGTCATTTTGTACTTTTTCACTGTCATTCAGGGATCCTTATATTGGGAGGATTTTTGTCCCTCAAAAGAAACTGCAAGTTATATATTCTGGATTGCTTTCATTCAATTGTGCATGGTTATTTGGTTGGTGGTTGCATGATTTTTTTTGCGAGCATGAAATGGGATTTTGTAGGAAATACCAAAATAGGTTATAAGTTATAAACCATGTTATTGGTTGCAGAGGCTAACTTTTCATTTTACCCCCATGTTATACAACAACAACAATAATAACAATAACAACAACAAAGCCTTATCCCACTTGGTGTGGTGAAGTCATCTACATGGATCACACAATGTTGTTCAACATGTCTAAAAACCAAAGATTCAAGAATATTATTTACCCCCATATTGTAGTAGGAACTTAAAGTTGTGTTTGGCAGGAAAAAAGTGACAAGAGAATAAACTATGTAGTAAGGTTGAAAATGCATTAGATAAGTGAACATTTTAGGCAAAACAGAATTAAGAATGAACAAGTTGTCAAAATTACGATTCAACTCATAGAATCGCACGATTCTACGCTTTTGCCATGCTTGGGCGAGTTCGTTTGTGAACAAAATTGCAGGAAAGTAGAATCGGTAGACTTACCGTACTGGATCATAAAAATGATGGAATCAAAGTCTTTTCCAAGTTTGCTGGTCCAGTTTATTTTTGCATTATCTTTTACGTTTTGGGTCAAGTTTCAATTTTTTTTTAATTGATTTTGGGCTTTTGAAAACTTTGGCCAGTAAAATGCAAGCCCTAAGTTTACTCTAACCAAGCACTTAGAATGAAGAAAAAACATGTCGCTGAATTGTTGTCTTCTTCAACCTTTTTCCCAAACAGCAAACCCTCCCCCAAAACTGCTGCACAAATATTGTGAACACTGACCATAGCTCTCTTCCACCGCATTTGGAGTTTGTTGTTCTGCTGCCTCTATTGTGAAGCAAAGAATTGTTGTGCTCCTCCCCGCAGTTGTCATTCTCGTAGTTCTCTTCTGACTGTTTTTTCCTTTACTCCTGTGACTTTGTTTTGCTCACAAGTCATTGGTTATCTTTCTTAGTTTCTATTTTCTATGATTTTAATTTGGATAATCTATTTTAATCTGAGTTAGAGGTCTAAACTAGGTGTTTTAAGCTCTTTTGCTACTGTAATGGAGTATTTTAAGTTGTTTGGTTGGTCATTTTAGTTCTTTATGAAGTTTAGTTATTGACTTTATTCTGCTTATAAATCTATGATTATGAATTAAAGCTTAAAATGGTTTTTTCCCTCTTATTCATAGTATGTTAGATGCATATAAAAAAAAATTATATGCATATATTTGGATTTTATAAATTTTGTAGGGTCTTACGTTTCCTGTTACGATTCTGTGACCCTTTCCCAAGTCCAACTAGAATTTTGATTTTGACTACCTTGGGAAAGAATGCATTGGACAAAAGACTGGTGTAGCGTCTATTGCAGAAAAGATGGTAGACTAGAACCTTGCCTTAGGTGGTCCAAGCATGTGCGGACCGGAGAAGACCTATAGAAGCCCCAATAAGGAGAGTAGATCAGATGGAGGGTAGGTCTAGTTGCTAGAGGCAAAGGTATACTGAGAAAAACTGTAGGTGGGCCAATTAAGGACTTAGGGCCCCTATAATTTGTGTATAGATATAAGTTGTGAAATTGTGATAGAACACCATGGAGTCATTTGATGTATGTAACCAGTCTCTCCTAGTGGCAAAAGGGGTTGGTTGGTCGTTCTTGCTGTATACAAATGTTGAAAATGGTCATTTCAGATTTTCAGTGGTTAAATTCTTTTCTTGCTATAAGTTTTAAGCAGTACTTTATTTATATTACTACCATACATTCATGGATAAATTTCCCCTTAAGTTTTTTGTGTTTATCTTTGTGTTTGTGCATACAATGCTGCTGGTTTCTTTAGTCATTGGTGCAAAGCAGCACCATATTATGTAAGAAGTTCATTGCATTGAACTTTGCTCGCTCATTGAATTATTTAGTTAAACAATGTGTGCCTGAAATTTCCTAAAGGAAAAATCTTAGTGATAGATGGTTCTAACTACCAGTCATAGTTATATAATGTAACTAATTTGTTCTTGTTACTGTTCCATTTATTCACTGAAAAGTAGGATATATTCATGTCTGTTATTGGTATCAAGATTTTTGTGGAAATCTTCTACTTTAAGTTCTTACTTTTATTTATTGCTTGAATTTGATTATTTGTTCCATTTTTCTATGGGTTTTGGGGAGAGAAAGGGAATGGAGGTTGAAATTTTCATTTTCAATTATTAAAGTTTTATAATTTATAAAAATGAATAGAATGGTGATTGAAAGGTTTTGTGAGAATGTATTATTTTGTTCTTTTCATTCTAGAAATTTCTTAAATCAGAAAATATTTATTTTGAGATGAACGATTTGTCCTCCCTTTCCCTTCACTTCAAAACCCTCCCTAGTTTTTTGGCATCACTATTGAGTATTGACTTGTGCTGCGAGCTTTAAGTTTCTTTCGAGTCTCTCCCCTTGTCTGCCTATATAGGGGATTATTTTACGTGTGATGCTGGTTGACCATTTTGACATGTACATGGAATACCCCATGATTTGCATGCTTTTGCATTTTTGCTTCTTGTCAGCTGCGATGGGTCTAATTTAAACATGGTTCGTGAGGATGATGTTCAACCCTTAATAACCTTCTTGAAGTGTCCTAAATTATCTTTCTGGATCTGATTAATCATGAAACCAGGATTATGAACTTTAAAAATCTCCTTGATCTGGTATTTTTCAAGCAAGCTTTATGTTCTGTTCATTCTATTGTAGGAAGGAGCATCAAAACTGCACTTTCTGCTGGGTCAGCATTGGCATTCACTTCTGCATATATTGATTACGGTGATCAGAGATTAAAACATGATGATGGGAAGGAGTATGCTGCTTACACCACAAAGAAAAGAAGCAGCACTGATGCATAATTATTAATTTATGCACTTTTATGACCGAAAGCATTTCAAATTGATAGTAAAGAGTGGATCACTCTTCTGTTGACCCAGTTATTTGTTTTGAGTTGGAATTACATACTCGGCTGTCTTTCCATTTTTATTTTCTTTTGTAATTTGCTAGTGCTGAACTGGTTAAATGCCAATAAATGTGTTATTGTGGGTTAATCTACATTGCATATTAGCCCTCCATAACCACAAATTACCCAATTGCCCAGTAGTCGATGTTCTTTCTTAGATGGAATGAATGAAACCAAGAAGCTGAAACATGTAGAGATTGGTGTTATAGCTTCAAGATTCTCAATATAACTTAACTCATTAGTGATCATCTTAAGGTATTTGATAACTTGATTTTGCTCTTCTACCATTCAAGATAAGGAAATAATAAAAACGGTGGAGGACAGATCCCGGGCAGAATCATAGAACAAACTCTCGCATCATTGGGCTTGCGCGGGTGAAGAACTTTATTGCTAGAACCTCTGTTCAGGAGAGAGATATTTTTAAGGTTTAGCTTCCGACGTAAACAATGGACTCAAATGCAAAAGTGTTTCTGGTCTCTTCGAACCTTCTGTTCGTGTGTCTTTCACTGACATGAACATTCAAGTTGTTTTAATGTTTAAAACAAAGGGCTTATGTTCATGAACTTTTCATAATTTTTTGTAACGGATACTACGCAGACGAGATTGGGGCAATTGACGAATTTTTTACTGATATAGAATTTTTTTTTAAAAAAATTACTAAAAAGGCATCTGTTCAACTTTATTTACACATCTAGCACCATTTACTGTACACACTCAGAATTCGGTTCCTTGGGAACCGAATTCTGAGCTTCCATTTTTTTTTTGTGCTCAGAATTCGGTTCCTTGGGAACCGAATTCTGAGCTTCCATTTTTTTTTTGTGCTCAGAATTCGGTTCCTTGGGAACCGAATTCTGAGCTTCCATTTTTTTTTTGTGCTCAGAATTCGGTTCCTTGGGAACCGAATTCTGAGCTTCAATTTTTTTTTTGTGCTCAGAATTCGGTTCTCGAGGAACCGAATTATAAGTAGGTTTAAATTCTATTTTTTTTTGTTTGTGGCCCAGTTTGGGCGAATCTGGAAGTGGAACGGAACAGGCCGTTCTGCTTGCACACGTAGAGTGGTATTTTTGAAAGTGGAACGGCCCGTTCCGGAAGCAGAATGGCCCGTTTCACTTTCAAAAATACCACTCTACGTGTGTAAGCTTTCGGAACGGGTCGTTCCACTTCCCAGATTCGCGCAAATTAAGCCAAAAACAAAACAAAAAAAAAAGAAAAAATTTAAAATTACTCAGAATTCGGTTCCCAGGAAACCGAATTCTGAGCACAAAAAAAAATTTGAAGTTCAGAATTCAGTTCCCCAGGAACCGAATTTTGAGTGTGTACAATAAATGGTGCTAGATGTGTAAATAAAGTTGAACAGATGCCTTTTTGGTAATCTTTTTTAAAAAAAATTCTATAACCGTAAAAAATTCGCAATTTATGAGATATGAAATAGGTTATTAAATACATTAAAATAAAATTAATTTTTTTATTTAATGGACTCATGTGAAATTTGTAACTACTTCGTTTGTTTAAAGTTTTTAAGGGGACACTTGATTTAAGGAAAATCATTAAATTCAAAAAATGACTTTTTTAAGTTTAAGATTATTATGATTAAGTATATTATAATTAAATAAATTCATAAATATTACTTTGTTAAGATTTGATATTCTTAAGAATATTTTTTAAAATTAAATTAACAAGAGAGAGTTAGAGTGAAAAGGTAATTTACTTGTTGAATTTGGATAACATAATAACTTCGAATAGTTTTTTTAGGAAAGTAATATATATCCAGTGATAGACTTACATTCATTTGATGGTGAAGAAATGTACTCCTCCACTTTAATTAAATTAGTAGTATATCTTTAAAGATTTTGTATTTTGTATTCTTTAATTTTATATATTAAACATACTGATGATTATTTTTTTGATATTTATGTTTTACTTTTTTTATATGTGATGATAATTATCATTTGTTTTTATTTTTGTTTAAGAAAATTATTCTCACTAACTTAATATCTTAGCTCCATCATTACTTATCCACCTCTTACTATGAAAAATAAAAATGTAGAAAAAACATGGAAATGACACTTTTCTTAGAATAAAAATTGTTCAGGACTTATTTATTTATTAAGTTTGTAAATATAAGAATGATACATTTCTAAGTAAGCACAAATTTAATGTGGGTTGGGTCGTTGGATTGAGATGTTAAGTGTAATTTGCAGAATTTGATCGATAGATAAGCCATAATCAGTCAAGCTGAATACAGTAGTAGCTGCCAGCTGGTGTTGTTTGACGGTGGTCATTCCAATGCCGAATAGATTCACTGTAAATTGGGAATGAAATGACTTAATGCTTGTTTGGATTATCATTATTTTTAATGTAAACAAAAATTCTCTCATTTCAAAGAAAAAAATGAGAAGTAACAATTTGTTACTTTCACCATAAATCAAACAGACTGTTACAAATTTAGGATACTCAACTTAGTCTCAAACCAAAAAAGGAGGATTAAAATTTAACATACCTTTGAGCTCAACCTTATTAGCATTTACAAGTTGGTTTTAATCTCCGGTTGTCGATAATAAATTATTTGATAGTTCATAGTTGATGATTATCAAGTGTTTAAACTTTTTAACTTACCCAAAAAAATAATTATGTTTAATTATATATGATGTAGAAACTAATTAAAAATCACGTAATTTAGAATTATTTAATTATTCTCCAAATTACCTGAATAGGCTTAAGAAATAAGAATTTTAGTTTTTATTTTTTTTATAAAAAAATATACATTAAAGATGTAATATTGCTATTCATATGGTAAATTTATTAACTTTACTAATAATTCTAAAAAATTACATCAAAATTAACTTTCAATTAAGTTCACACCACACAAGTGTATAACTAATATTTAAACTTTATTAGCTTTCGATCTGCGACTGAAATATCATTTAGTTTATGAATCAATCAACATATAATTATTTTAACTTAATTAGTAATGTTAAATTTAAGTTTCAGATATGCAACTCAATTAAATAATCAGAGAATAACAAAATTATTTCCAATAAAATGATTTCTCTTTAAAAAAACTATTTTTAATTTTCAAAATCATTTTAAAAAAAAATTGTTTTAAAAACAGCTTTCACTATTAGGCTTGGCCAGCACCAGCAAGGAGGTTATAGAAGTACATGTGTCTCGGATCATAGATATTTTCCACGTGGCAGAAAACCATTGCTGATCCCAAATTTCATGGCCCACAAAATTTAACAAGATGCTTGAGTGAGTTCAAGTTTGAAAGCCTAGTTCTGTAGTTCACCACTTCACCTTCGTGATAGATAAGAGGAACACATAATTTTCGTACAATGGCAGGACCTGCTTTCTACACCTCCTGTCTTTCCTCTTCCAGGTAACTAACTCATCTTATCTTTCATTTTTGCTTAACATGTTCAATGCTTAGTCATAGTAATAGCATATCATATTCATAAACAATTCCTAGCGTTTAAAATTTTATATTCTGCCTTAGAAATTAACCATGCTGGTGAAAACATTGAAGGGAAAGTTCAGTTAATGTTTGAAAATCTATGTGGACATGGTTGTGAGGGACTAAGATTGTGTTTTCAGCAACTTAGGGACATGTTGGTTGGTATTAAAAACTCACAATGCAAGGGCCGTGCCAGGAAGTGGAAGGAGAAGATTGTCAATAAAAGCAGAAGTGCAGTATGTAAACGCTGAAAAGGCAAAGGAACTGGTAGAAGTGGATGGATATACTGTTCTTGATGTGCGAGACAAAACTCAGTTTGAGAGAGCTCACATTAAATCTTGTTCTCATGTGCCTCTTTTTGTTGAAAATAAAGACAATGATCCTGGTATGAAATTTCTCCTTCCCAAGATTTTTATGTGTGCTTGTTTTCTGCTTCAATTTTGTTACTTCATGGCGCTAACTTTCTGTAGGTACTATTATAAAAAGGCAGCTGCACAATAACTTTTCTGGGTTGTTCTTTGGGTTACCATTTACTAAGCCAAATCCTGAGTTTTTCCAATCTGTTAAGAGCCAGTTTCCACCTGAAAGTAAACTCTTGGTTGTATGTCAGGAAGGACTGAGGTTAGTTTATGATTTCCTATTCAATTTAGTTGCTACTTATGCCCAATGTTCATGGTCATGCATGGTGACATGAAGCTTGCATTTATATATTTAGGTCCTTTAAGGACATGTTTGGATAAACCACTCCAGAAACACTTTTAGGAGAAAAAAAAATGAAAGAAAAATGATATATTTTGGTCTTCAAGGACATGTTTGGATAAACTTATCCAGAAACACTTTTGAACAATTAGGATCGATCTAATAGTTAGAGATTGAGGAGGCATGCACAGAGTTTTAGATTCGATACCTGTTACTGTCATTGTAATTTTTATTGATAAAAAAATTAAATTAACTTATGCATAATTATAAGGTTTTGGAGAAATTAATAGGAAAGAGTTTCTACAAATTAGTTTATATATAAGCTAATTTTAGTTTATGGAGAAACTTATTTCATTTTCCTTCCTATTTTTCTTTCATAGAAGTGCTATGGAAAAAGTTTACCCAAACATGCCCTTAGTTCACCTTCTTAGAACATGGAGATGGAGACACCCCCCAACTCTGATTTAGTTCGTTTGTCCTTTATTTATGATTGATCGGCTCCCAGATTACATGCTCAGAATATGATTCTGTAATAGAATCATTATTTACAGTCCAAAATCTAAATGTTAGACGAAAATGAATGAGGGGCGGATGTTGCTTTGGTTTGATTATTCAATGATAATTGGTCACTTAGCAGTGAAGGAAGAGATGGCAGTGCTGTCCTATGGGGTTATTAGTTTAGAAGCTATGCTAAACACACGCATTTGAGAGTGTGTTTTGCAGGTACTCTAGCTTAGAAATAAAAAAATCATTGAAAAGAATGTTGATTATGAAAAATGTTTTTTTGGCTTCTGCCAAATAGCTCGTTTTAGGATGATTTGGTTTTTGACAAAGAGAACCACCATAACTACTTCTGGCTGTGCCTGCATGGAGTGCTATTAAATTCTCAAGTAGAATCAGATGCATAGTTTATGTGAATAAAACCTTGAGCTGTGTGTACTTTTTGTATAAAGGAAGATGAAGGTTCCTGTGTCTTGAATATTCAGGCGAGATCAAGTTTTGTATGTAATAACTAATGACAATTGACAACTATCAATCCCAATTATGGTACATTGTTTTTAGGACGTAAACCTTTCCTATTAAATAATGGGGAAAAAAAGTTGAAAATAACTCTTAGTCTGAGATAGTATTGTTTATATACATAATCCTTTAATGATATCCTTATGTCATGCTTCTCAGTTATCTTAGACAGAGAATTGTACAAGAATTTATTCTATAAGCATATACAGCTATATATTATAACCTATCCCTAAAGCTAGCCACAGACTATAACGTATTTGTATTTTGTTCGCATTGTGAAGAGAGGTGTACAAGATATTTCAAGAACTATTCTATTCTGGGACAATCTAAGAAATTTGTACTCATCCTTGTCGTTTCATTGCCTGTTTTTCTTCAACCTTTTATCACATTGTAGGCCAACTATGGTGGTCTTTATCTCAGCCTAGTCAAATATATTCTGAACCAACATAATATTATGCATAAATCTTTAAGAATGTTAGAAGTTGATTTTAGCAAATTATATTAGTCATCACATCAATAACTTCAAGATGTCTTACATGTAGAGACAAAAAGATGCATCAAATTCCTATAAATTTGCGTGACTTGAATTTTCACTGCACGTGCATTGACTTCGAATAGCCTAATGTAAGAATTTGTGATTTTCTTTCTTCCTTGTCAAGGTCCTCTGCAGCAGCAAATAAGTTAGATGAAGCTGGTTTCGTAAATGTTGCATGCATAACATCTGGCCTTCAAACTGTAAAACCAGGTTTAGTAACTGTTTAGCTTTTTTTTTGTTAGTTAAGTTATCTTTTAGGATAACAAATTAAACTATTTCCATTTTGTAGGGACATTTGATTCTGTTGGCTCCACAGAGTTGGAGAATGCAGGCAAAGCTGGTTTGGTGACAATCCAAGGAAAAATCTCAACTGTGTTGGGAACCATTCTTGTTTGTAAGTTTTTCTTCAACATATTTTTATTACTATTTCTTGATGCTTGTATTGATTTTATTTTTTTAAAAAAATGAAATTTTCAGGTGCATATTTATTCATTACCTTCTTCCCTGATCAAGCTGAGAAACTATTCCAATTGGTCCCTTCAGGCTAAGCCTAAAAATTCCATCAGTCTTTCTTGATTTTTTCCTTCCCCATTCATTTTGCATGTAGCATATTAAGGAACTTGTGATTAGAATTGAGAAAAATAAAAACATGAAATGTGAATAAAGTGATGGAAGAGTTAGTGCTTAGTAATGTGAGTATATAGCTATGATGGTCAAGAAACCAAATGGTGTATGCCACTGGTAGTATTCTCCATTAAGCAAGGTGTTGTATCTATTTCTAATGTTTAAGATACCATTTATTTCAAATTTACGTTACTAGGACAATGTGTTGCCTTGTAGTTACACTTGCACTGTTGGGGTAGTTTTCCTTTGAAGATAGTTTTTCTTTACCCCTGGTTTCCTTCTTGTATTAAAGAAAGGTGCACTATGATTCACATAATCCGATTTTGATGATATGATGTTATCCATGCATCATGTCTAACAGATTTTGTAATGAGAATTAAGAGTTAAAGTTCTAAAGATGGTTAACTTAATTTTTGGCATTCTATCACCAAAATTTTTATTCAAATTCAAGTAACTCGTATATAATTAGGATGATGAAAGATATAATAGGTACAATTTATAAATAATAACTCGATATTTTGTTACTTTATAGTATACACAATTCAATGAATTGTCTATAATCTATTCTTTCCCCTTTGTTTAATTTGTGTACTTATTTCACATTGTATGAATGGAAAAAGAATTTACAATATGGTATGGGAAGGTTAGCTTAGTTGGAAGTTTCCAACCATTGGTCACCATCAATAAAACTTGTGTTGAGAAATGTCAAAGCTTGTGTTTCATTTAATTTTTGTACATAAGGTGCTCTAAAGTTCATATTAGCCCCGGGTCCTGAGCAATTGTATTCTCCATAGAAAATAGTCCTGCATGAGTTAAATATGAAGTCAGTACTATAGAGAGAGAAAATAGTTTGTGGACAGCAAAACTAAATTCGTTCTTCTTCTTTGATTATAAAACTAGTACGTATAAAATAATAGGATAATCGTAATTAGATAAGCATCATTGGTCCAATAATTTTAGAATAAATTATACCTTTTTTCCTTAAGTGATAAATAAGTTTGTAATTAAATTTAAGCTTAAATATATTTTTAGTTCCTCAAATTTAAGATAAATTTGTTGTTTGTTTCTCAAATTTAAAATTGTTATTTTTAGTTCCTGTAATTTTTAAAAATTTTATTTTAGTTCTTTAAGTTACCAATAACATATTTGAAAGTGACTAATTAATTAATACAGTTATGCAATATCAATCGAATTTAATGCGATATGTAATCATGTTTGATAAATTTCTTAACAAAATTTGAATATAAGGACTAAAATAAGATTTTTTGAAATTACAAAGACTAAAAACGACAATTTTAAATTTGAGGGACCAAAAATAAATTTATCCAAAATTTGAGGGACTAAAAACATATTTAAACCTTAAATTTATTTCAATGTGAATAAATCTCTTAATGGTAGTTAATCTTAAGAAAATGAATTATGAATTCAATTTATTCCTACAAAGTCAATTTATAAGGTAAAGATTTCTTCATTTATATACAATATTATGGGTCAATGTGAGATTATCAATCATTAATAACTGTGAATGAGTATCTCACACTTCATTGCACTTTTTAGTGTTTATGAAAACTAACTTTAAACTAATTTAAAAATGTAACAAGTTTTAAACGTATTTATATTTAGGTTCAAAATTTATTCCATCTCTTAGAAGTTACAAAGTTGATAATGGAGGTTGAAAAATAGTTTTGGATGGTGTTAAGAAGTCTTGCTGAGCAAGAGGGAAAAAGATCCTCAACAATCTTGTTTATATTAAAATTGAAAATATTGTACCTCTAAAAATTATTAAAAAGTACAGTACACGTTAAGCATCTTTCGGGAAAAAAAAAATATACGTTACTCATTATTTTAATTAATTAGTAAAAAAAATTGAAAATTGAATTTTTTTTGTTTGTAACCATGAGGTTCTTCAAATAGAAAATAGTGAATATTCAAGATTTTTAAAATAATAATTTTGTATTGATATAACTATGGTATCTAAAAAATATTAAATAATAGAATTCAATAATTTAAAATTTTGATTGGCTCATGGGTCCACTGATAAGTCATAATACACGGCAAATCTCCCATTAGTATGCCTTTGTGTTCTACAAAAACCTAGGGTACACAATCACGTTACCTCGAATTCCCCATTCAAAAAACATCAAAATAGTTTAAAACCTGATTTTGAGGAAAAATTTCTTTTCAACATAATATTAAAAATATTTCAATGAGAAGCTTGTTTAATTAATAAAATCAAACTTCTCACTTAGGGATGGCAAATATACCTGTACCCGTGGGTAATATCCGAACTCGTCCCGACTTTGACGGGGAATACCCGGTTTGACCGGGTACGGGTACGGGTAAAACCCGATATATTAAATCGGGTACGGGTATGGGTATGTACTTACCCGCCCCGTACCCGTACCCGTCCCCGTTCTCATTTTTAATTTAATATTCACTTTTAATTTAATTATATTAAAAAAATTTAATATTTTTTTATGTGTGATTATTTATTATAATATGAGATAAAGAAATAACCCGACGGGGACGGGAATGGAGATTAAAATTCATACCCAACGGATATGGGAACGGGGATGGGGATGAGTTTAACTTGCGGGGACGAGGACGAGTATCATGAAACCCGTACTCGCCCCGCCCATTGCCATCCCTGTAGTGTGCATAAAAAAAGTGTGCCTTTATTTCAAGTGACTGTTACATGTTTAAACAAAAAAGACACAACAAAAACAAATTTTCTATTTAACGACTATGTTAAAAAAAAAAAAAAAAATTGAGTATGTTTAAGCTCAGTGTGTAAGATGAATTCCCCAAAAAAAAAAAAAAAAAAAAAGCGTGAGGATAAGCATTAAGTTTGAATTGGCATATGTTATATTTTTAATCAAGAGTTGTGCACTCACTGATCTCTTAAAGGGTCGTTGAAATCATTCCAACCTTCAGGAGCAATGATATCTGACATTACTGTGAAGGCAAAAATAACACGAGAATAAGGTCTCCATGCCCTACCCAACCATATTCTTCCAGTTCCTCCAATTGTACTATTCACAAATGCAAATCCTGTATTTTCATCGGTGGAAACTCTACCATGAGCCGTAACAGCACCATTTATGCTCTTTTGTCCCACAGGTACAGGGTTAGCTATAGAAACTAACTCACAATTCTGTAAATAACAAAAGTAACATCATTTCCATATACTATGTTTTAACTTGTAATACCATAAAACATGAATATAAAGATATACCTCATAGAGTGACCTTGCATTGCCGAATATGAAGTCAATGGAACCTTGAATGTAACAATCTTTGAAGTAATGACGACCCTTATCATCATGAAGGGTGTCTTGGGCTCCGAAGAATCCACAACCCCTGAATTCAGATTGATCGCCCGAAATTCTAATAGCTACTGCTTGTGCCCCTACGGCCCCAGGACTTGGTATTGGTGCTAAATTCTATTTTCAAGTACAAAGTTGTTAGTGTCATTGTAACATATTATTTATAGTTTCTCTCTTCTAGACATACAAATAAAAATTATTCACCATGAAGCTTATGTTCTTAGCAATGAAATTGGAGGCGAAAACTTGTACAGATCCACTATAAAATGTTCCATTCGCAGACAATGCAGTATCATTCCATGCAATCGCAGTTGAAATATAGCCTTGTCCTTGAAATGTAATGTTGGGTTTGGTTTTTGGCACCATAACCTTCTCACTTTCCGAAATAAATGGCATGATATCATATCAGTCTCAAACTTCTAATAAAACTTAGATGCAGTACTATAGATATTGTTAATGTTATTTTTCAATTAAAATTAAAATTTTTTATCGATAATATATATTGACATTTAATGAATCTTGTATTACACATGTCACAAAATTAGAGTTTTATCTTTGTAACATGCATAATACAAAATTCATTAAATGTCGATACATGTTATCGATATAAAACTTTAATTTTGATCAAATAACAACATGTACTTTATCTAAGTTTTGTCCTTTCGAAAAATAGTTTGTTTGAAGAATGATGAGGACCAACTTACTAGTAGATGCCATTGTTTATCCAAATTATGGTTCTTTTTAGACTAAAATCTGGAACTGCATTCACGGCTGCTTGTACTGTTGTGAAATTACAACACCCTTTTCGATCAACACAAAGATAAGAAGTGGTATTAGTATTTGGAGGTGGAATGCCTGGTGGAAAATCATCACAAACAGAATCAGTGTTCCCATTGTCAGGGTGTTTCTTGTGTGGTCGATGATGATGGTTTTTGTGGAAGTTCCAATTCCAAGCTAAAGGTTTTGCCAAGTATATAGATGATGGTGACAAGTTTGTGAGACTCAAATATGTGAAGTTGTTGAGAAAATGTGGAATTGGATTTATGAAATACAAAGATACAAAAACTGCTGCCAAGGGAACCAAAAGAGATAGGAGGTTGCTTTGGAGACTCATTTGCTGCTTTTAGAATGTAGAAGAGGGTGTGAAAAGGGATGAGGCTGAAAATTGGGAAATGAGTATATATATGAATAAAATCACGTCAAAGATGGACTTGAAGGGAAAGGTTCAGTGGCATGCCTTGCAAACTACCCTGTCCCTTATTCATTCTTGGGAAAATTTCCAAACTTCACCAAACTTTTAAGTTGGTTGTTTTTCTTCAACCTTTTTTCATGACATTGTAGACCAACTAAGGCTGTCTTTATCTCAGCTTTGTCAAATATATTTTATGTAATGAGACCAAAGCTATTGCCTATATATGAATGAATTCCTTACTTCAATGTTCTGAATAAATATTTCTAGTGTCATACTACTTAGGTTTCACTTTGTAACTAATACAAAGTTTCCATTCCATGTAATTTCATGGTAACTTCATTAAAATGGGAGGTAGAATACTGCCGCAGAAAAGTTTATCCACAATGAATCAAAATACTTAATTAGTTTTTCAATAAATACTTAATTATAGGATAAGAATCTAAAAACCAAAATGAAATCAAATTTTTTCCGAAAGTTCATTTTAAATTTTGTACGAGTATTTATTGTAAACTTTATCCACATAGAGCTACAGTCAATGACTTTTGGTGATAATTTGCCTGTAACAAGAGTGAATTGAGCTACTAATAAAATAGAAGAAGCAAAAGAGAAGAGCACGGAACCACAAACAAATCTTGCTAGAATTTATTAAAACCAAGAAGCAAGGCACCGCAACGCTCACAATGAAGGAACGGGCGTCGATGAGGAAACGCCTCTGCAATTTGATGGAACAGCACCTCCACACCACGCAGCATCCATGCAACGGAGGGAATTAGAAGACGTAACTGGCTCCAACGGAGGACAGGCTTGCATGCGTAGCGTGTGCTTTTCTCAGTAAATAATATATAACCATTCACCAGGATATCTGGGCATTCTGATGTTCTAAATCATATGGTGACATGATATTGTGAAGAAAACTTCGACATCAAACACCAACGACTACCATGCTAACACTTCCATTTCATTATTGCGCAATCCTGATCACCATATACCAGATTTCTTAATACAGACACTAGTTATGTACATTGAACCAAAGTTGGGTCATTTTATCGTCCTTGAGCTATCTACAACTCATCTCCCTCGTTACTCGTAAATAAGACACGATAATACCATGTTACACAGTAAAGTCACAAAGCTAGAGGACCCAAGAGAAATTCCTGGGAAGTTTAATTAAATGAAAAAAACTCGAAGTTGGAAGACATGCAATGCAGTACACTAGACGTTGGCAGCTGGAATTTTTCACAAAGGCCATTAATTTAGGCTAACAAAATATTACAGTAATTATTTTCACAAACAAAAAAAAATATTACAATCAGATTAGCAACTGTGTTTTTCATTCGACTCTGCGCACCGGTGATGTCACGGCATAAATAGGTGGGCTTTCAAGTCATCTGATCTCAGCTACCTATGCGGCCAATAGAATTGGCAAAGGAATTGAAGAGGAAGTTCAAAAAGGAAGCCAGAAACCTCGTTCCTGTACCATTAACTGTGCCATAGCATTGTCTCACAAAGATTAATCGCCTTGTAGACAATAAAGCTGACGAATGTTCCCCGAAGCTGCCACCACAGAAAACAAATTATTACTATTAGAGAAATCTCCACAAAACATTTGCCAGAGAAATCATAAGCTTGGTAGAGATAGTCCAAGTTTCAATTTCGAGTATATACATAATATAAAAAAATGCTTAAATGGAAAGGCAGTGTTCAATGTACAGGTGAAAATCAGATATGTTGGAGTAGAAGAGAATAATAAAAAAGAAAGATGATTACCATATAACCAGTCCCTGAAGTACACATGGATTGCAGATGACATTTCTCGTTTGCGACTTTCTTCTAAAGATGCTTCTTGCAAGAGTTGTTTTATTTCCCCTAAATTTTTTAGCTGCAGAGAAGATACAATTTGAATCAAGTGAAAACATATTTCACTCAAAATACAGCTTTTTACAGTTTGATCACCAAAATATTACTCAATTGACACCATACTTACATTTTTATGATGAGATGCGATATAAGCATCCGGTAATGTGAAAGGGTTGGCTTTTGTAGCCCCAGTGGACTCTCCTCCTAGCCAGTTTGGAATCTGTGCGACACCAGCATGGACCAAAAACAAAGCATGACTAAATGAGAAAGAAATAAATATGAACATTAAACATTTCATCCCAGAAAACTTACGAAACAAGATACCAACCAATAGTGAACATGTTGAAACCCATTAAGTATGATGGTATTTAAAAACAAAATCTTCATTTTCCCTGTAAGTACAAGAATTTCGTCCCTACCACAAGATTAGTGAACTGATCAGGGTCCAACTGTGTAGCAGACTCAGCTTGAACATCAGAGACACCTGCTGGATGAGATAATGAATCATGGGGGTCAACCATGCCCAATGCTAGAGGTTCATCCCATCGGTTCACCATGGGCACAATTCCAACTTCACTCATATGCTCCTCCAATTGGGAGTAAAAAGTATTATAGGGAGCCACCTGTTAACATTGTGAGGGAGAATGTTCTCATGCAATGAATCCAGGTGAAAAGAGTGAGGATACATTATAAGAAGATAGTACAATTAGATGAAAGAAGTGTAAACAGAAAAGGTATACCTTGTGTAAGAGGCCATGGGCCAAATACCATTTTTTTCATAAACGAAAATGCACATTTTTAGTGATCTAAAATAATGGTTAGAAATCTGTTACTAGATTTAGAAGAAAAACTCCAATTCTTGCTCTTGCAAAAATCAAAATATACTAATCGTGGAAGACTTTTATGAGCTTATCCATTTCATTACTTAAAGCTTAATCATAGAGTTAACATTTTCATCTATTTCTCTGCTTATAGAACTACACCTTATCATCAATAACATCATCAATAACATATAGGTCAGAGACTGTGTTCCAAAGTTATATAATTTAAAAATTAAAACACAAGTATAAATTATAACAATAATTTCTCTATAACCAAGAATGTAACAGTATTTTTGCCATGCTTGGTTATACCATATAAGACACCTATGATATATCACAAATCAATCATTTTGTATTTTCTGTAGGAGCATCCCGAATGAGAGCTAAACACAATTCCAAAATTTCTTAGTTACATTCTCATGTAATGTAAGAAACATGGAATAGCAGAGCACCAACTTCATAAATCAAGCAACGTAAATGGAGAAGCTCACCTGCAGGTTATGGTTATCACCAAGAATAAGTGGCTTCTGATTTACTCCCAAAAAGAAAACACATTCACGGCAATTAGCAATACAAATGCGTTTCGCTGCTACAATTACATGTACTCGTTCACAGTGTTCTACTCTCACAGCCTGTCAAAGTAAAAAATAGGTAGAGATCAACTTCTTTTCTTCCAATTAAGTACCAGCTATTCTAATAGTGGTAGAAATGGGATAAGTAAAATGCTTCTCGGTTACCAAGTCTTACCCACCACAGACAGTTTGCATATGCATAAGTTTAGCAATGATCTTGAATTTTAATATAATGAGTAAATAATTTCATCATGTCTTTTGAAGTAGAAGTTCTTTGAAATGCAGGCAAGTAGGTCCAGATGGATGAACCATCCAAGAGTAATTAACAAAAAAATGGAGCTGAAAGTGCCTTGTTAAAATTGTTATATGTAATAGATGACAAACAGTTACAGCAAAAATCATCAAAATGGCCTGATTTTCAATTTTTCATCCAACAAAACAATAAAAGACTTCTTTGATTCAATTTTTCTTCTTCTCCCTTTAAGTGCGTACAAGTTTATTCAAATTGACTCCTAGCAGAAAGACCCAATTCCATTCCCCTACTAGCCTATTAGGACTTTAATCCTAATAAAATCTCATTCACATGAAGGCAAGCCAGCTTGAAAGCTATAATATCAGTATCATCTTCCTTGATTGTCACCATACAATTTTAAGTGACAAGATACTATTGTTTCCCATGTTCAGGTAGAAAAACACATTCCACGGTTGTTCCTACTACATGCATAGAATCATTATGTTCCTTTTGAAAGCAGGCCAGAAACTACTAGTTATTACCTTGCCAACTGCTCCAAGAACTATAGTTGCATCTGAACATCCATAGACGGTGGCATATCTCAATGGTGCTAGGATGTAGATGGCAGACTCGTGGCAATTTAGAACCTGCAATGACCAAAACATAATATTAATAATTCATACCTATACTGACAAAAATTTCAAGACCTCTCAGTTTACAAAATATATGAAGTAAGATGAATAGCAAGCTGACTGCGCAGAAACAAATGGTAAACACTTGACTTGAGCACTCAAAACTTCAAATATCAGCTACCCTGAAATCTCTTTTCAAGGAAGATGGTAGTAGGGATGTTCAAAAACTAACTCGTCCTAAATTAACAAACTAACCCAATACAAACCGATCAGCTGGTGTTGATTATTTGTATAATTTTTTTTAATATGTCTATATCACCAATATCATTATGCATATATTGGTTTTATAGGCATTCCAGTAGACAAAAATTATTAATAATTAAAAATTTCTCATTTTGAAGCTTTCCAGAGTTATAATTGACCTACAATCAGTCTCAATAGTCAAATGATTAAGTTTGAAAGAAAGTTGAAAAAAAAAATTGTTAAAATTCAATTGTAATGATAAATCACTTATTAGTTATTATATTCATAAGAACCTTAAAAGAGAAATAGAAATTTGATAAAAACAAAGAACGATTCTAGTGATCAACTGAGAATAGGAGAAAGAAACCTCCTCCAAGGGTTTCCCTTCTCTTACAAACTATCTATTTCTTTGAATGGCTTCTTCCTTCTTTCCCCTTATTTATCAAAGTCATCCCCTCTAACTGCCGCAGTTCCACTAACTGATTTTCCCTTCCCATTCTCCTAAATCCTAAAAGATATACTATTCCTACTGTAAAACTAATGCAACAGTTAGGATACATGATACAAGTCTTTAACGCATGTTAACTACAAGCTAATCCATGCAGGATATGGCAACAATGATGTCCAACACTGGTTGACAATACATTAAGCACTCTGAAATTGAATAATGTTCAAATCAAGAACCTAAATCTGCATGTACATAATTTGTTCAGACATAAAGCAGACTAACTCTAGCGGTTCCAAAATCAAACTTTTAGACAGAAAAATGTATCTCGATAATACCCAAATCAGTCATTATATTACATCAAATTAGAATACCAGGAGCTAAATAGCTATTCATTCAGAAGCAGATGCCTATATGGAATGTATTTGCAGTATTAGAAGATATTGTTGAAAATAACAGAATATCTTAGGGGTTTATCAACAGAATATCTTAGCAATTTATCATTATCCTTTTATTTTTTTTATTTTTTATCATTAAGTCATAGTTTTCTCATTTTGATATAGTAGTTTTCTCTATAAAAGCATGATTAGAGAATGTAATGTGTGTGAAAAAATATTATTAATGAAAGTTCTTTTTCAAGTCAAGTTTTACGAAAGAAAAAAAAAATTGAGTTAAAACTTAAAAGTTTACTTGGATCAATAGCTTCAATGACATATCAACAGTTAAAATCAAATTGCAGGCAAAATTATACTTGAAAAACAAGCAAATATAAGGAAAGATGTGTAAGATATTAACCTTAACAGAGGAACCTTTAATATCAGATGCATTCTTTGCATATGACGATTTAGAGATCCCTTCAATGAAACTTGCACCTCTAGTATTTGTTGAGACCTTAACTGAGACGGTGTTTGCATCAGTCATTGCAACATCCTGATCAGAGGCACTAGCTGGGCCATTTTCCTTTGAAGAAGTCCGTTCAGAAATATATTCCAAAGCAGCAGCTATATTCTGCAGAAGCCAGTCATGAACTTGTGCAGCAGGAACAGGAACTGCAGGCATGTCAGGGTCTGAGTTTGCAAAAAAAGGAGAACATTGACTAAAAGAGTTTCCTTCGGATCCCTTATCACCAAAATGAATTAGAAACCCAAGATGCTCGAATCTATCCATAGATAAAACCTATCAAAAAAAACAAAACAATAATAGGATTAACTAAAAGAAAAACATATAGAAAGTTGAAAAATAGAAAATTAATTGAAGAAATGAAACATTTAATAAAAGAAAATATAAAAAGTTCAAAAAAAATCATCATACTTTCCTCCAATAACAAACAAATGATCTTAGCTAGGCTACAAAGATGAGTTCACTGAAAAAAAAGGGACAACCCAGTGTATCAGGCTCCCACCTAGTGGGGCCTGGAAGGTATGTGAAACACTATATCATGCCCCAATGAAAAGGTGGTAGTATGTGACACTGATATGTGATGCCTCTCGAGTGAAAGTAAATCTTACAGCAACTCCAGCATATCCTTTGATTATTATGATTTTTAATGAAAGACAAGTATATATGCATTGACAAATGCAAGTGAAACAAAATGAATTAATTAGTGCAAAGAAATGTGGGGATATAACATTAACATCAAGAGAAGTTGACATCATAAAAAAAGAGAAGATGGCTGACATTCTTATCAAAAATTAAATTAAATACCAAACAAGGCAAAGAACGGATCCCATATGCTTAGTCTGATACTGAGAATATAAGAAATAACAATTTGCCTTCAGTAAATTAACAAACCAGAGACTCTTCGCCTTCTCCCTCTACAGGCTCTGCTAGAAGAGACAGAATGTTAGCCAAATGCTTTTGCAAGTACGACAACTGATGCGCCTCTTCATCAGCCTGTGATGGCGTAAACCGCCTACTGTTGCTGCGTACAAGCTGCAAAACATTCAACAACATAATCAAACACTTTCCAGTTTTTATTACAAAATCAAAAGCTAAAAAAAAAAAAAAAAAAAAAAAAAGGAAAAAAAAAAGAACCAAAACCAGGGGGGGGGAAGGCAAAAAAAAAAAAAAAAAAAAAAAAAAAACATAAGGAACTAAAAAAGCACCAAAACCGAGGGAGTGAATGTCAAAGAGAATGGAAGGATCCAACATGATAGGAATTAAGCAATGCATTAGTCGGAAACAAGGGATGGAAGGATCACCTGGAGCGGGGAGAGGGCGGACAAGTAGCCGTCGAAGGCGGAAGTGGAAGGCCAGACGTCGGCGACAGTGGCGGAATCCTTGTGCGTGCGGGGGAGAAGCTTCTTGTAGGATTGAATGTAGAGGAACAAGAGCAGATCATGAACGTCGACGCCCACGGAGTCGATTTGGTCGAGGTTGGCGGTGACGAGAGGTTCGGCGTCGGAGTGGAGAACCGAGGCGAGGGTATCGAGGACGAGGGTGGCGTGCTCAATGGAGATCTGAAGGGCGTCGGAGATGGCGGCGGAGTGGACACGGTGGTTGGAGGATAGCTGTAGAAGCTTGTGCTTCAAGGGAATTAGGGTTTGGGCGGGGTCGGAGAAGATGAGGCGGGGGATTGGCAAGAGGCCGTGCTCGAAGGGCTCACGCCTTGGGTGAATCACGGTGCTTGGGGATGACGTGGAAGGCTGGGTTGGTTCCGTCATGGCAAGGCAGAGAGAAAAATCATGGGAAGAGAAAGCGTTGCAGATCTTTGATAGAGATTAGAGGGAGGGAGAAGAGAGAGATGTGGTCGTGCGGTTACGTGGCGTCTTCTCATTCGTTGCCTCTCAACAGTCACCAATTGTCAATTGCTTAACTTTTGAGATCAGATTTAAATGCATTTCTACTCCAAGGTGGTGGTATTTGATAGTATTTCTCTTGCAATTCTGTTGTGGCACGGAATTTTTCACACTGAGACAGACACCCCTCCCTGGTTGCAGCTAAATTTCGGGTTATTCACGTTTCTGGTCTACATTGCCATGTAATTCTTTCTTTTCTTTTCCATTTCTCCTGCTTGGTTGAATAGAAAATAATCATGAACACGAACTAAAATTAATATTATATTAAAAAACTAAAATGATATTTTCTTTGTTATTTATCTTTTTATACATTTATTATGAAATATTATGAGATGGAGAGAGTATTAAACTAAATCTAAGTTGGCTTGTGCTTGATGGCATGATCATATATACCATTTTAATGATGAACCAACTGCAGCCACGGATTTTCAATTGCTAATTAAGAAATCAATATGTTCATCAAACTCCGTTTGCCAGATTTTCAAATTAGAGTATCTCAAATTTTTAAAGTAAATAATCCCTCACCATATGGCTAATTGAATAACTAGGCCATAATCCTTAGTGGATGAGTAATCTATAAGTTGATTTGTAAATGCACCTGAGCTTTGAAACCTATTTTATATCCAAGGAACCCCCATAATCAATTTCAACTAAACTTTTATTCACCAAAAACATATTTGCAGAACTAGGCAATTAACTGATTTACACTTGACTAATTAAAAATAAGTGGTACTATTCGTAGGGTTAAATTCGAAATTATATTCATTATAATTTTGTAGATTTTTCGGTAACACTAACTTTAAAAGTGCACTTTTGCTATAGAGAAAAACTAAATTCTTGTATTTCCGTGATTAGGGGACATGATTATTAGGATATTAACACGCCCTAATCTTGTTGCCTTACAAAACATGATTACGAGGAATAATTCGACATACATCAGTTGGTCTACAATGCTGCCAAATCCTAACCATCATTTGCATTTTTTCTTCACAGCAGTATCCACGGCCAGAAAATGACTGCGTAGAAGTTCAGAAATACTGCTATTAACTATTGTACATTGAGGCATATTAAGCCATTTACTGTACTAGAGCTATCTCCAACGCATCCTTGCCAATTACTCGTATATTAGACACGTTAATGTACAAGGTAAAATCACAGAGCGAGAGAACCCAACAGCAATTCCCGGGAAGTTTAATTAAAATGAAAAAACTCGAAGTTAGGGGGATATACAGTACACTAGATGTAGGCAGCTAGAATTTTTCACCAAAGCCATTAATTTAGGCTAACAAAATATTACAGTAATTATTTTCACAAACAAAAAAATATTACAATCAGATTAGCAACTGTATTTTCCATTCGATTCTGTGCACCGCTGATGTCACGGCATAAATAGGTGTAATTCACGTCATCTGATCTCAGCTACCTATGCCGCCAATAGAATTGGCAAGAGGAATAGAAGAGGAAGTACAAAAAGGAAACCAGAAACCTCGTTCCTGTACCATTAACTGTGCCATTGTATTGTCTCACAAAGATCAATCACCTTGTAGACAATAAAGCTGACGAATGTTTCCCGAAGCTGCCACAACAGAAAACAAAATATTAGGGTTATCTGCGTAGCTTCACCTTGACAATAATTACGGTAGCCAGCTCTGTACCAAACTCCTCCTTTTATTATATACTGCTCATCAATTGCCTTCTGAATGAGACTAATTTAGATTACTTTATAAAGTATTTTGTATAAAACATCTGAAACCTATGTTATGTTAACATGAATGTATATATGCTTAAATCTTGGGAACGTGGCAAGGCGATTCTTGCTCGATCTGCCCAACTGAATGCAGGTGTTCCCTTCACGTGAGAGGAAAATTAAATCCATTAAGTGTCGTGTTAATAAATAACGAAACACTGACCGTTAAGATTACTCAATAATATGGCTAATAAAATATAAGATATTATATGAATAGGAAAATAAAGAGGGTTGTTTGATTCGAATTTGAAAGACACTAACTCATGAGAGACGTTAAACAATTTTTTATCCAAAACATAGGAAGATAAACCAAAAGGCTAATGCCATATTAAGGGTAAGGGGGGTTTAAAATTCCGTGGCAGCCTTGCTCAGTGGCAGTATTGTCGACTTTTTGGTCATTGTTTAATGAAACTCCAAATGGAGGTTCCATAATAGAAGGTACTATAGAGATCTCCACAAAGCAGTTGCCAGAGAAATAGTAATTTTGATAGTTGGTACAAAAATGAATTAGTCCACACCACATTTCAGCTTCAAGGACTTCAAGAAAAAACTTAAAATGGACAGACACACGTTTTTCATTGGAGAGGTGAAAGTCAAATATGTTAGAATAAGGCCCAGTTTGGCTAAATTTTTCAATAAGCATAGGGGAGAAAAGAATATAATATATGAAGAAAATGAGATGAATCACATTCATTTCATAAGTTAAAATTAACTTATGCTACTCAACTTTTTAGAGGCTTGATTCATTTAACTTCTTCCTTCACAAGTACAAGTCAATTTTTATTCATTTGACTCGAGAGAAGTTTGATTCCTTTTAATTTTTTTATTCATTTTAGTTTCTTTGCCTACATGTACTTGTTGAAAAGTTTATTCAAATTGGACCTAGAAAGCATGCAACAGTAAATGATAGTTTCTTACCATATAACCAGTCCCTGAAATACACATGGAGTGCAGATGACAATTCTCGTTTGCGACTTTCTTCTAAAGGTGCTTCGCGTAAGAGTTGCTTTATTTCTCCTAAATTTTTTTGCTGCAGAGAAAAAACAATTTCATTCAAATTAAAGCATAATTCACTTAAAATACAGCTTTTTGAAGTTTGATCACCAAAATATGTGGAAATCAAATAATTAATACACTAATCAATTAACACCATACATTTTTAAGATGAGATGCCATATAAACATCTGGTAAAGTGAATGGGTTCCCTTTCGTAGCCCCAGTTGACTCTCCTCCAAACCAGTTTGGAATCTGCACGACAACAATTTCGGACAGAGAAAGCATGACTAAATAAAGAGGAAAGAAATACCCCTTGAACAACTATTCATTCCTGAAAATTTACAAAGCAAATGCACAAGATACCATCTAATGGCAAACATATCAATATCCATTAAATGACTATTAAAAAAAACCTGTTTCCTTAAAAGTAAATGTTCAAGAAACATTCATACCACAAAATTAGTAAACTGATCAGGGTCCACATGTGTAGCAGACTCAGCTTGAGCATCAGAGACACCTGCTGGATGAGATAATGAATCATGGGGATCAACCATGCCCAATGCCAGAGGCTCATCCCATCTGTTAACTGTGGGCAAAATTCCAACTTCATTCATATGCTCTTCCAATTGGGAGTAAAAAGTATTATAGGGGGCCACCTGTTAACATAATGAGTGAAAAAGTTTTCAAACCATGAATCCAGCGGAGAAGTGCCCAAATTGTAAAGAAAAATATATGTTCATTGTAAGAACTAAGAAGCAAGTACCACTAGAAGCATAAATATGATCAGAAAAATAGACCTTCAGTAAAATTAATGGTTCATACATTTCATCACTTATAAAAGTTAATACATGGAGTTGACCTTTGTGATTTTACCTCTACTTTAACTACACCTTATCAATAACACATGGATCGTACACTACTACATGTGTATTGTGTTTTAAAATTTGATAATCAAAACATTAGTATTTGATGGCAAACAATACCAGTACGCCTACGAAGTATGATCCATAAACAAGCTCAAAGTACACCTATTTACAATTTAACTAACTTATCCATTCATGTTCGTCACATGATTTAATAGTACTAGGCTCTAGTAGTTTCATAAATAGTAGCCTAATATTTTGCAGTGATTTTATCAACTCCTTTCTGCACCAGTAACAAGTCCAAATGACATCCCAAATTCCCAGTGATTAAAATAGAACAATAGTAAAATCCTACCACCTAACACTAATACTAGCTCTGTAAACTATATAAGCTGCAATACAAAAACAATAAAAATGCTGTAAGTTATAATTTTTCTTTAGCCAAGAAAGCAGAAGTATTACCTATGAAGCACAGGATCTGACATAGCAAATGTCCAACATAGAAAACACTGGAAAATTATGTATTATATACAGAGAGAGAAAAGAGACTCAAATGAAAGTAAATGAGCGACAAAAGTACATAAAAAAATTATTTAAATTAATATTTGTATATTCTTTTATATTCTCTTTCTTCCTAATAATAATGAATTGAGTCACTCAATCACGTAGATTAATTATTTTGTCTCTTTACATTGAAAAGAAACAAAAAAATTCAAAACAACAATTATATCTTTCACAAAAAGTATATTCACCTTCTCAAAATAACTTGCTAAGTTTTAAATTTTTACTGTTATAATGACCTTAAAAAAATATTGAGATGCATTATTTTTTAATATTTTATAATATTTTAAGCTAACTTTTCTGAATGTTCAAAAAGTTGAATATTTTTCATAATATTAGTGTCCTTAAAGCGTCTATCCATAAGGTGCTGACTCAAGTGTCTGAGCTAATTTATAATAAAAAATAAAAAAAATAGACAGCTAGTGAGGAGTGGCTGACATGTTTTGTATACATGCCAGTGTCAAAAGCATGTCCAACACTACACCTCAACTAAGAGGACCATGCTTCATAGGTTATGCCAAGTTATATCAGTTAAGCCACATATAGGATATATCACAAAGCAGTCTTTTTGAATTTTCTGCAGAAGCATATACAGTTCCCAAATTTCATAGTTACATTCTCATGTAAGAACCAAAATGGAAGGGCAAAGTACCAACTTCTTAAATCATACAACAGTGGATGAAGAAACTCACCTGCAGTTTATGGTTGTCACCAACAATAAGAGGTTGCTGATTCACTCCCAAAAAGAAAACACATTCACGACAATTTGCAATACAAATACGTTTTGCTGCTACAATTACATGAACTCGTTCACAGTGTTCTACTCTCACAGCCTGTCAAAGAATAAAGTATGCGGAGATCAACTTCCTTACTGCCAATTAAGCACCCAGCTATTCTAATGCTAATAGTAAGCTTAGGATCAGTAAAAATGCCTCCCAGTCACCAAGTTATACCCAAAGTAAACAGCACGCATATGCAGAAGATAAGCAACAGTTTTTAATATGATGAGTAAAATAATTTTAATATATTTTGAAATTAGCAAAAATGCAGGAAAGTGGGTCCAGAAGACCTAAAAGCCCCTTGATGAAATGGATGACAACTAGTTTATGTAAAAATATCAGATTGAATAGTTTTCAAGCAACAAAGTAATGACAGATCACTGCTGCATAAATAATTGTGGGGATGAAGCAACAATCATTATCTCTCTCACTTCTTCTATACCTGGAAGGGCTGTTCACTAAGCAAATATTCACATAAGTAAAGAAAAAAAATCCTTCTGAATTTATAGAAATTATAGCATTCGAACAAGTTAAGGTAACAACTATCATCCCTCATCTCAAAGAAGTTGAAGTCTTAACTTTTGCACGTTCAATCTTTCTGATTGATCGGCATCTTGCCATCTCTCCATTTTCCTTTTTCTTTTTCCATTCTCAAACATGAACTTCAATTTCCTTTAACACAATTTAAGATTTTTCAGGGATCAGAATTTCTGTCACTTCATATGGGACTCACACAAGCATGAATCCATGACAAGGCTAAGATCCTGCCTTTGAGAAAAATAATAGGATGCAAGAATGAGAAAAAAAAGATTTCTTGAAGAGCTTTTTATATTTTTAAAGTCCCAATGTTCATTTCCTAGTAATCGTGAGTATCTTTATGTTAACCAATTGGCAGGCATGAATAAATGGAAGGAAATAGAATACCAAATTGTGCCCTTCAGTGACAGCTACAATCACCTTGACTTAAAGCATATTTGTGTTACAGTATTGAGTATTCCTTGGGAATTGATAATATTCCAGGTTATAGAAAGTGCTAGTTCCATTCCCCTTACCTACTCACTTGAAGCCCACGGCATTCCTATCATACCAGTATCATCTTCCTTGCATGCCACCTAACCATTTAAAATGACAAAATAATATTGTTTCCCAAAGCCCACCAGTCTTATTAATGGTGGATGGCAGTTCATGGCCGCAAGCCAAAAATATACCATAAAAATATGGCAGATGCCATCATGGACTATGGCAAAGGTGTGGTAGCTATAACACAGAAAAAAAAAAATCAAGAACAAAGAGGCAGAGGTAGGCCACTGGAAAATGAGTTGTTGTCAATACTTTATTGTTTACCTTTGCATATTGTTTTATTCATTTATTAATGATACAAGGCATTTAATTTATTATGTGTATATACGAACATAATAAAGCCAGTAGAATAGTTTATTAAATGTTATTATTAAATATCCTTAGTAAAGTATTATGGTCAATAAGAATAATAATACATTGAAAACAGTAAGCAGACTGATGTGAGATATGAGATATCAAGTCATTACATGGATACATGATTAGTGTAATAATGTAGTGGGTTGACCCGCTATGAGAACACCACATAGAAGAGTTATGCACGTGTTATAAGCAATTCTCAAAGTGATTATAGGATAGTCCTTTGATTTGAAGTCAATACAATTCTTACATAAGAAGCTAAGTGTTTTAATGTCATCAAATGTTACTGTAATAAGGTGACTTTAAAACTAGTAATGGGACATAGAACAAATCATGAAGATGAATGTGAGTGATCTAGATGGGAATTATCCTTCCTTCATAACCGGAGTAATATCTACAGTCCTTTCGAGAGAAAGACAATAATGCAAGATTGTGTTATAATGAATCAATATGGGATATTGATCTCATTTATTCTTATGTATGCTTGGATATCAAGTTGTGTGTTTTAATATCATCAAATGTTACTGTAATAAGGTGATTATAAAACTAGTAATGGACATAAACAAATCATGAAGATGGATGTGAGTGATCTAGATGGGATTTATCCTTCCTTCATAACCGAAGTAATATCTACAAGCCCTCTTGATAGAGAGGCAATAATGCAAGGATGTGCTATAATGAATCAATATGGGATATTGATCTCATTTATTCTTATGTATGCTTGGGTATCAAGAAATAGGAGGACACATTTTATGCCTAGTGTTCAATAATGATATATGGACAAAGGGACTAAGTTACACAAGAACATGTCATGGAAAGGTTACATCAAATCATAGACATTCTAATTACTGGGGTAACAATGATGTGTAGCTAAATATCATTTACTGCTTATAATATTGAATAAAATTTAATATTATTGTCACCACAATAAGAACCTATAGGATCACTAAGGAAATCCTATATAAAGGAGCATCTCAAGCCCTAAGAGGCACATCACTCTCAATAGCTGCATAATGTACACAGTACGAGAAACCCTGCCAACAAAGTTCCTTGTAGCACAACTAGACTGCTCGCTCCTACCTTAATGGTGAGATGGTTCAATAAATTGTATGTGTGAATTTCGTAGAGATTTGGGTCGTGTTGCTAGACGGTGTGATTTGCAGAAAAAGGGTTTTCACATTACAAGAGGTAAACATACTATCACAATTTTATGCTCTTTCACAAAGTTCTGTTGATGGAAAATTTTCCAACATGGCTTGTTTTTGGTCCATGTTTCCAAAAAAAAAAACTGCTTCCTTACTCCATAGATGGAAGGGAAAGACGAAAAAAGGGTGTGACCAAACACACTGCTGGACGACTGAAGAAGTATCTTAGTGCTTTAGGATTTCACACAATTTTGGTCATGGATTGTTATAACATGAAAATGTGCTAGTCATGAAAATTGTTGTGAATCAAAAGGGCTAAAGGCTCCCATTTGTGTGTTCGAGTTTTTTGTTATTTCCACAATCAAAGCAATGGGTGCCATGAGCATTGCAGGCAACATGGCCCGCCAAACCAAAATGGCCATCCAAAGCCTTTGTGTGGCAGATTGTCAAATTTCTGCCACATGCCCACAGTGCATTCTGGTATAAAAACAAATTCTAATTGTTTGTTATATATATACACATAGACTCATTATGCTCTTTCCAAAAGCAGGACACAAAGCTACTAGTTATTACCTTGCCAACTGCTCCTAAAACTATTGTTGCATCAGAACATCCATAGACAGTGGCATATCTCAAAGGTGCTAAGATGTATATGGCAGACTCGTGGCAATTTAAAACCTGTAATGATGAAACAGAATTTTCATTAGCATTCTATATCAATAATAGTCTCAAGTGACCTCTCAATTTCCAAACACAAGAAAAGTAAGATGCATAAGATGGTGATTGAGAGCAGAAAAATAAAATAATTGATGCTTAAGCACTCAAACAAAACTTAAAAATTAAAATATTAGCTACCATGTCCATGACATCCCTTTTTCAAGGAACTAATTGTTCAAAAAGCTAAAGCCATTAGTTGGAATGCCCAAAAACAAACTCATCATGGAAAACCAAACTAACGCAATACAAACTGATCAGTTGGCATTATTTTATATCATCCTTTTAAATACCTGCAAGGCTATAACATAACCAATAACATCAATAAACAGACATTGGTTAAACATGCATTCCACCCTAATTCAAGGTCTAAAGTCCTTACTTGAATAACACACAGGAGAAAAGATGATTATCACTTTCAAGCTTTCAAGTGAAGGCATGTTTGACCAAAAACCTGTCTTGCTTAATTAAGTTTGAAAGAATGTTGAAAAATTCAATTGTAATAATACATCACTTTTTTATATACACCATTTAAGTATTTCTACTGTTATAAAACCAATGCAACAACTAAAACACAAGGTATAGATTTGTTCAAGGCAACAAAGATTTCCAACACTGACTGATAATATGGTAGATACCAGAGTATAGCCTCTGGTTCAGAGCTACATCAAAACCCCTGACCGAACTGCCCGTTTAACCAACTCCCAACAACCCACAAACTCCTTATTTTTGTTCTCCCACCTAGTATATACCTTCCAAACCCAATTCTCTAGCTGGGGCTCATGCCTGACGCAATACATTAAGCATTCTGAATAATTTTCAAATCATGAAATCCACATATACATTCATTCAGACTTAAAGCAGACGAACTCTAGCAGATTCAAATTTCAACTTTAAGACAGAAAAATGCATGCAAACAATACCCAAAAGCAAGCCTCTGTCACTTTACTATCAAGTTGGGATACTAAGAGCTAAATAGTTACTCATTTAGAAGCCAATGCCTATATGTAATTGTTGAAAATAACAGTACTTAATGTAATTTGGGAATAGTAGCTTTGTCTAATTATGGAATTGTATATTCATGTAGTGAGTTGTTTTTACTCATGTAGATCTACAAATCTAAAAATCCACATTGAACCAAAAATGCTAAAACTCTTGCTTCTGAATTTGGTGATTGGAATGTGTGAATTCCCATTTGCATTGAAGCATACAGGTTCCCAAACACAACCTAGGAAGTTTGCACCCATTCACACTTTAGCCTAGAAATAGTCCACACACACACTATATATATATATATATACACACACACAAATTGAATTAATTCAAATTGATAGATAATCATAAGAGTATTTTATACGTTGATTAGAATCTATATGACGAAGTATCATATCGTTTTCAAATTTTTTAAAAATTTATAGATTTAATATATTTTTTAAAAATTTGTAGATTTAATCTATTAATAAGAACTTTTAATTTAGTGATTGAATTGTTAAATTTGATGTAGAACATAAATTATTGGGTAAGTCTACCAATATTTACTCTTAGAGTAAGTCCCCTCTCATAAATAAGAAAGTCTTTTCACTAAGTTTCTCTTCTCTATTTAGTAACTCCATCTTAAATCTCCCCCTCAAAATCCAGCATATAACAACTCTAATTAGCAGCCTTGTATGAAAACAAAAAATTAAGGGTTAAATGCCTACTTAAGATCAATAGCTTCACTGATATATCGAAAGCCATAATCCAAATTGTGAGCAACATTATACTTGAAATACAGACAAATATATGGAAAAATGTATAAGAAACAAACCTTCACAGAGGAACCTTTAATGTCAGCCGCATGCTTCACATATGAAGCTTTTGAGATCCCTTCAATGAAACTTGCACCTCTAGTACTTGTTGAGACCTTAACTGGAACGGTGCTTGCATCAGTCATGGCAACATCCTGATCAGAGGCACTGGCAGGGCCATTTTCCTTTGAAGAAGTCTTTTCAGAAATATATTCCAAAGCAGCAGCTATATTCTGTAGAATCCAATCATGAACTTGACCAGCAGAAACAGGAACAGCAGGCATGTCAGGGTCTGAGTTTGCAAAAAAGGGAGAAGATTGACTCAAAGAAATTCCTCCAGATCCCTTATCACCAAACTGAATTAGAAATCCAAGGTGCTCAAATCTATCCATGGTTAAAACCTACCAATTAAGCAAAACAATATTAGGACAACAAACTATAAGGAAAAGAAAAGATTTGATTCAATAGAAAATAAATTGCTGCAAATCTGCAATGCAATGAAACATTCAATCAAAGGTAAATTAAAAAAGTTAAAATATTCCTTAATCTTTCCTTCCGGTAACAAACTTTATGATCTTAGGCTACAAAATCAAATTCACTTGGGGGAAGAAAAAAAATGGGAACCCACCACTTCCTAAAACAATATATCATGCTCCAATGAAAATATGGTAATATGTTGATCTAAAGTTACATGAAAATACAGTAATATTCTTATTTGGTTAATATGTGATGCCTCAGTTAGTAAAAGAAAGAAATCTTACTGTAATCTAGGCTAGCATATCCTTTCTTTATAATGATTAGTTGATTACTAATTACTAATAGCAGCCAAACATATAAGGTTATATGCATTGCCAAATGCATATAGAGGAAGAATTAATTAATTAATTAGTGTACAGAAATCGGGGGCCTAACATTAAAGGGACGTTTGGTAAGCGAAATATTTTTACTTTCTCAAGAATTTGTAGTTGGGAAAGTTAGTTATTCATATTTGGTTTATCATCTAAAAAATAACATTCCTAGGAAACATGGTTTCCCATTAATGCTTTTGATACGGGTTTCCCACCAAATTATTACCGTGGGGGTAGGTGAGAATCTAACATTTCTGAGTTAAAATGAATGTTTTACTACAGTAAATTACCTTAATTTGCCTAGTTAATGCAGTATAAATATTTGATTCCTGAGTAAGATTTATAAACATTCCCAAAAACATTTATAACCAACTAAATAGATTTAATCATTTTTGAGAATCATGACTCTCAAGATTTATGATTTCCAAGAACCATGATTTTCAAGCATGAAAAAATATCCCTTCTGTCAAACGCCTCTAACATCAAGAGAAGTTGGCATTAACAATAAAGAGTAGATGGATAACATCCTGATCAAATTAAAATCAAAGTTGTCCTTGTCCCAATACCAAACAAGGACAAACAAATGACCAACAACCATTTTGCTTGTTTTTATCCCCACCTCCAAAAAAAGGAGGAGGGGGGCTTGCTTGTCTACAGAGATGGTCCAATCATACTAACTCTCTCTAGTGCATGACATGTATATATATCAACCTAGCACATCCATAAGTCACTTAGAAATTAGCAGATCACAATCCCATAATTTTAAAGCCAAAACAGGTCAATGATAAATGGTGTATGAGTCTTGAAATAGGTATGGACTGCATGTGAAAATTTCAATCAACATAGAAGCACTTGCACAAGATTCATATTTTACATGACCAGCCCACCCCCCAAAAAAAATGGTCCAATAAATAAAATAAGAGGAAGATAAACTGTATAGAATTATGTTTTCTACTCTTCTAGAGGATATTGCAATGATAACGATATGTCACAAAAACAGAATAACATGTTACAATCATACAGGAAAGTGACACAGAAGGCTACCTATCTGCTTCAAAAAAATTTAACAACTGCTGTCATCAGGGTATACACATAGTATAAAGTTCTGACTTCAGACAAAATTCATAGCAATGTGCAAACAGTAGAAAAATTGATTAAAAGATTAAGTAATAAATAACAAATAAAGATCATCATTTTACGGGAGCTAAGCAACAGTGGGACAAAGAAAAAGCATACAACAAATGATGAAAAACTATTTCCCATAGCACTCAACATATCTCTTCATAGTTTGCATGGGACATCACCAAAACAGCGACAACCAATTGTGTACAAGAATGAATCCCAAAAATAATGTGTGTGGGTAAACCAAGTATTTTATTGACAATATAAGAAACAACGAATTGCAGTCAAAATCAGCAATAACCAAAAGATATAGCATACAGTAAATTAACAAACCAGAGATTCTTCTCCTTCTCCCTCCACAGGCTCTGCTAGAAGAGACAGAATGTTAGCCAAGTGTTTCTGCAAATACGACAACTGATGCGCCTCTTCATCAGTCTGTGATGGCATAAACCGCCGACTGTTGCTGCGTACAAGCTGAAAAACATTCAACATTTTTCAGTATCAAATCAACAGAATCACTCGAAACGAAATTGTCAGCAATTTAATACAGAAATCAAAAATAAAATAGCCGCAATAAAACTAATCCAAAATTACAGGAACTAAGCAATGCATTAGTAAAACGAATTGCGCGAAGGAGAACAGAAGGACGGAAGGAAGAGGGAGAATTCACCTGCAGCGGGGAGAGGGCGGACAAGTAGCCGTCGAAGGCGGATGTGGAAGGCCAAACGTCGGTGACGGCGGCGGAGTCCTTGTGCGTGCGCGGGAGGAGCCTCTTGTAGGATTGAATGTAGAGGAAGAGAACCAGATCATGGACGTCAACGCCGACGGAGTCGATTTCGCCGAGGTTGGCGGCGACGAGAGGTTCGGCGTCGGAGGGGAGAATCGAGGCGAGCGTATCGAGGACGAGTCTGGCGTGCTCAATGGAGATCTGCAGTGACTCGGATATGGCCGCCGAGTCGACTCGGTGATTGGAGGATAATTGCAGAAGCTTGTGCTTCAAGGGAATTAGGGTTTGCGCGGGGTCGGAGAATATGAGGCGCGGGATTGGCAAGAGGCCGTGCTCGAAGGGCTCGCGCCGCGGGTGAATCACGGTGCTTGGGTCCCTCGCCAATGAGGAAGACGTGCATGGCTCCGCTGGTTCCGTCATGGCAACGCAGAGAGAAAAATCATGCGAGAATGAAGAACAAAAAAAAGAGAGAGAGAGAGAGAAAGAGTTGCAGATCTTTGAATCGGGGGCAAGTAGAGGGAGAAGAGAGAGATGCGGGTGTGTTCGGGTGGGGTTCACCGCATGGGAGTCTGCCTACGTGGCGTGTTATTATTGGCTTTTTAACAGTTGCCGTTTGGTTAAGCTTTGCCCTTAACTCTCAGATCAGTTTTCACAAAAATAATAAATAAATAAAAACTCTGAGATCAGATTGATGCATTTGTACTTTAACGCATCTTTCTTTCTTCCTATCTCTGTTGTAAGACAGGTTTTTTTTTTTCATTTTTTTTTTAACTCCAAACAAATATTTGCTTAAACATTGGCTGATAAAAATACCAAATACTCCTTTACGTATTTTTGGTTGTCGAATACTCGTTAACACTACTCCTTAATACACATTTGACCTTCCAAAATGTTAAATATTCTTCGACTCGCATTTCACATCCCAAAAGACTACATATTCTTCAATACAATACATACTCGATCTTTCAAAGGGTTTAATATTATTTTTATACGTATTCCATCTTCTAAATAATCAAATACCCCTTTTAAAATTAAATACTCCTTCATTTATATTTGACCTTTTAACAGGCCAAATACAACATCTATTTGATCATTATACAAAAATTACTTAGCTTAAATAAGTAGAATATAATCCTTATTAATGTCAAAATACTTGACTGATAATTATGTGTAAAGCTCAAAAGCTCAAAAATATAAATAAAAAAATGCATTAATAAGAGGTAAATATGAAGATAACTACTATTTATTATTGCATTGTTCATTCATTTACTACGTATTTATTGTTCTAAATGAAGTTATATTTTAGTGTTTTTGCATGTATTTCACACTCCCTGATCCTAAGTTACTTGTTAGAGAGATTACAAAGATAACAAAATTAATCATAAAATGCATGATAAACAACTACTATTTTTAGTTTTTATTGGCGACTAAAATTTAAGGTACAAATAAATTATGTTAAAAGAACTCTTATAATATAAGGCAATAAGGATCAGACAATTGGCTTAATGATGGAAGTTAGAATAGTTTATACAAATTTTTAAATCTTTTTCTTCTTGTTGTTATGGTAAATATTTATCTATAATATGGTTTTATAATCCTAGAAAAAAAAATTGACCAGTTGTTATATAAATCTTAGGCTGTTTTCATAATTATCAAATAAATTAAACAAAAAAAGAAGCACGCTGTGTCACTCCGTGAGTTTCTGTTTTTTTTTTTTATTAAGTGAAAGTTAAATCAAAAGAGATCATGAAAAATAGTTACAAGGATAAAATAAAAACTAAATAAAATATAAGATAACAGGAGAGAAATAATAGTGTAGAAAGTAATTATAGAGGCTAATAGTAAAAAAAACTCCATTGAAAAAAAAAAGTCAAATATTTGCAAAGATGCATCCAGTGAGAGCAATGTTTAAAAACCCGGATCGGATCGGCCGGTCGGACCGATTGGACCGGGAACCAGTGGTCCAGCCGGTTCGAATCTTAAGTTAGATCGGTTATGCAGTCGACCTGTTTCAAACTGGATTGAACCGGTCAATTTTCTGGTTCAATCGGTAGGTCAAACCGGTTCAACCACTTTTTTTTCTTTTTTTCTTTTTTTTTAAATTTAAGAGACCATAAACTACAAAAATAATAATGAAAATTAAATCTCTTAATGGAAGAACAAAGATTCTTATTAAATATAACAATGACTACTTGTTTTAATATATTTGTTTATAATATATATAATTTAAATAACTTTTATAGTATATTATTAATTTTAAATTATATATTTAATAATATAATATCTATGTAGATATTACATATATTATTTTGTGATATCAATTACAAGCATATTATATATGTACATATTATTTATATTTTTAATTTGTATTAATATACAGTTTAACATGCAAATTTTTATATATTTTTTTACAAAATAAAAATAAAAATAATTTTAAATAAGAGAAAAATTAAAATCTAAAACAAGATATGAATTTATTAAAATTTATAAGTATAAAATATATTTAATATGGATATTTTTTTAATAAAAATAAAGTCATACGATTTAACTTGTGATTTACCGGTTTAACTTTTGACTCACTAATCTAATATCTTAATTGGTTTGATGACCGATCCGATTTTTAAAAGTACGAGTGAGAGTGATATTCCATTATGCAAGCATGTAACACAGAAAGAAGGTTCAAATGTTATCAACTAATAAGACCAACTTTACAGCAAAATATGGTGTAATAGCTTATTGGATTGTTAATTACTTCAAATATTTAATTGATACCCCCTCCCTCCCCCCAAAGAAAAACAAATCCCAAATAATTGAAAATCACTATTCATTTTAAATTCTGATGAGAACAACACTAGTTAGTGAAGTATAAAATAAGAAGCGTTGACTCAAAAAGACTACTACTATTATTTGTATTTTTTTTTTTTATACAAAAATACTAAATTATTTAGATGGGAACATTCGAGTAAACAACTTTAAATAATTTAAAAAGTTTATGTCATAAATCATTTTTATAAATACAAACCAAAGACTTTGTTCAATATGACATATTTTAGATATATTTTTTAAGTATTTTTTATTTTTTTAATTAAATTTATAATTTTACGTTAACAATTTTTGTAATAAAAATTTACATTGAAAATTAGTATAAGGTTATTCTATTAAAATTTAATTATAATTAAATAATAGTATATAAATAAGAAATTGCATATAAATCTTTTCTCATCAATAGACTATTACAAAACTATCATTTTAACTCGTGCAAATACATAAGATAAATATTTTTATATACCATCATGTAGTTTTATAAATTAAAATCATTTTAATAACTACTTATTCTTACACCTTTACTGACTTCTTTTAAGAAAACAAATTAATGTAGAAACAACATTTAATGTTATTTAAATTTGAAAATATAATATAATTATAACAAGTACACTTCAAAGACAGTATATGATTTGTTAAAATTTTTAAAAAAATGAAGATTATATTTCAGATTAATTACTTTCATTGTTAATTATTTTCACAAATTAACGCAAGTCTTTTTCGGAGTATTTTGTTTATACTTATACATTGTTGTAAAAAAAAATCTAGTAACTCAATTATTTCAAAATTATTTGAGTCAAGCATGATTTACTAGCTCTTCAATGATGGACTACCATAAAGTAAATTGTATTGTATTGATATAAATAATACCAATATATCTTTCTAAGTTATTCTCAAATTTACAGTTCTATACTTGTACATAGAAGTGTCAAATAAGTTAGTTTAGTTTGATCATGTTTGACCTACACAACTTAAATGTTATTTTAGGTTAGACTGGTTTAACTTTTTTTTACTGTCTTGTTTTGCCCAATTCAATTAATGTCAAGTCATCGTACCAAATTGACCTAATTAAATTAAAATATTTTTTAAAAATTAAATTGTTTTTTATAATTAAAAAAATAAAATTTATAACATGATTAATTAATACTATATACATTTGAAACACCTAGTTATTTTTATACAATCATAAAACATCCTATCACTACGAGTCATATCATAAAATAAAAAAATATTTATTATAGAGTGAAATAATATCTTGTAATTTTGTAGTTTAAATGGTGACAATAAGTCAATTTTGTCACTCAATGAACATAAACATAAACATGAGTATTATATTATTTTATAACACATTTTAAATTGATATTAAATTTATAATATTTTAATTATTAATTTAACAAATCAGTCAATAAACTTGCAAATCAATTCGACCTAAATTTATTTAACCAGCCAGACTTAATCAATTAAGACAAAATTATCTAATTAAAATTGAACCTAATGATATATGCATACCAACTTATCTGACTCGTCAAGACAGACCAAATTCATAACTTTACCCACACAATCTTCATATATTTCTCTCATTTGGGTGTGTATTGACTCATTTATTTATCCCTTTGACTAGAAGTCTACCAGGAATCCCTCATTATCTGTTCATTATCTCTATTTGCACATGTGATAATTCTCTACCCCCGTCAGCACTGGAGATATTACAGCATAGCAGACTCTTAATAGCAACTCATCAAAAAGTACTCTTAATAGCAATAATTAATACAATTTAATGTAAATTTAAAAACAATAGCAGTTATTATGAATTAAAATAAATTATTATTTAATTTAATTTTAAACATAATAACATGTTCATAATTAATAATATATTTTTCAATTTTAAAAATGAGATAATATTTTAAGGATACTATTTATTTCTCATAAATTATGCTTGAAGATCGATATATAGTAAGGAAAGACGGAAAATATATAAAGAAACAAAAAAAAAACAAAAATTAATTATTTGGGTGAAAATTATCAAAATAATAATAAAAAAGTATGAGTTTAGACCCCAAAAATTATTATTAAAAAATCGAAAAAAAATAGTATATTTTGAGAAGAAACTAAACGAGCACTTCTCCCAGCCTCAATAAAGAAAACTCCTTAACTAATAATTTATCATAATTAGGTCCTAATTAATAAAAAAAAATGTTCAAATATGTAGTGATAGGAAGATTAAGTTATTTTTTTAACGGGCTAAGTTGATAAAAGCACTAAGAACATCTGCAATGAGAGTTATTTATAAGCAATTTCCTGTGCCACATTACTGCTACATCAGCTCTAACCCACTTTAAATTTTAGTAAAGTTGTTTGTAGTTACCTTTATATTAAGAATTTGTAGGGACAAAATAATAAGGTTAAGATGGACTCATGTGTCTATAGTGTTGGAGCCTAATAAAACATATTCAAAAAATTTATTGGTGCATTATATTGGCTCAGTTGATGTTTTTATTTGTCTAAAATTGTTATAATTGACTATGTTTTATATTAGTATGATTAATTTTGATTTTTAATTCTAGTTATTTTTTTAGAATTTTCCTTACTTTAAAATTATTGTTTTGTATAAAATATATCTAGAGTTACAGGTTTCAAAATTGAACAATCTTGGTCACTTTGAAAAGTTAAGAAAAAGATCTAGAAGGACATACCTAACAAGTTAGATCTATTTTAAA